TTAAAAATAAAATTTTATTGATAGTTGCTTATTAAAAATTTTTAGTTTTTAAAAAAATTATCACCGCCATTACTTTCACCGGAGACTGTAATTGTAAAGGAGTCGATGCTTCTTACATACTATTATTATATTAATGTCAATAGTGAAAATTTAAAACACGCATATAAAAAAATTTCTATGTTAACCTTTATTCAATGGTCAACAAACCATTTGTTAATTTGAATATTCGATTACTCTTAGTTTAATTAATAATGATGAAAATAATGTTAAATAAATAAATAAATAAATATTATTATTAAATTAACAATCTTTTGCATTGACTTAAAAATTAACACGTTTTTTTAACGTTATCCTTTGTTATCATTGCTGTACTAAAGTTTTGGGTAATTTCGGTTGTTATCATTGATGAGTGGACTTGCTCAATTGATTCATTTAGTAGACGACTTGTATAGGAATGATCCAGGATGGTGTTTATAAATCTTTTTATCTGATAGGAACTTGTCTGATTCGAGGATTTCTTGTCTTTTTGCTTTTGTTAATTCGACATTTATTTTTTTTCTTCAGTCGTATCAATGCCAATTGTATTCATATAAACAACCCTTAATTTCTTTGGAAATTGGTCTATTTTCAGGATTATGATAATATTAATTTTTAAATAAAAATATGGCTTTTTATAAACGTTTTCGCATAGGTTCTTTTATTTCCTATTGCTATATAAAATTTTTGAGTAAATTAAATTTTAATATTTTTCTAAATATATTTATAAAAATTTGGTTTATTCATTAGCTTCAAAAATAAATTTTTATGAAATTTTAAATATATATTTATTTAAAGTCTTTCCGATTATTTTTGTTTAGGAGCTCAAGAATGATTTTAAAGTAAAAATTTTATTTAATTTTGCGATTTTTTCACATAAAACAAACTCAAGTTATAGATACTTCAAATGTGCTTAATTAATTCGAAATAAATATGATAGGAATTCTCTGTGTATAAAGTATTTTATTTATTAATAAAAAAAAAAGTTTTTATATGATGAACTTTTTTTCGACTTTGCGAAAAAAAAAAAGTGCTGAATACTTTTAGGTACAAGTAGGAGTTGAACCAATACCACCAAGTTGCTTGCATTCCAGACCCTTTTTACAAGGTAGAACCGAACAATTTCCACCCGCACCAATTCCATCATCGCAATCACCAATAATCCTGGAGAAAAAACTGCAACGTTTCTCGAGTTCGTGATGGTTATCATCATCTATCAATGAAATATCAATCAAATATATGATGAGAAACTGGAATATTTACGAGAAATTTTTAATATAAAGTAAAATAGAATAAAATTGATTTTAACCTCCATGAGGAAACGCATGAACTAGCATGCTACAGACGATACAATTGATAATGAGAATCCAAAGAAAAATTTTCATCATTTTGTAAGGTAGGATATATATGCGTTAAAAATTAATGATAATATTAAAATATATTAGATATCCAAGTTTGCTGTTATCCAGAACAGAAAACCTTTTTGTATAAGTGTTAATTTTTAATGAATAAAGGAGTGTGAATATTAGATTATTCAGGTATATATAATTCCCTGGATGATTATTTAGATGATAATTTCCCAACCGTTCTGAACAGGCGCTATATATATAGAAAATTATAGACTAATTAATTTATAATTTTTGATGTTGAAGTAATAATTGATTCAGGACTTGGCTCTTTTGATCATTCACATCAAATCCGATATTGTTTCAAATATATGAGCGATGTTAATTATTAATTAATAAAATGTTCTCATGAGCATTTAATCGATTACGAATAAGAATCGATTCATATTTTCTCTATTTAAGGTTATTTAATAAAAAAATAAAAAAAGTCTTCTCCCAAAAGTCATGGCCCACTTTTTAAAAAACCAATTAAAATTTTACTTATTAACTGCATAAAATTTTTATAATATATTCTCGAGCAATATACATGGAAAAGGTAAATAAAATAGGATTAATAATAAACGCTGGTGCATTTTGAAATTTACCGAAATTTATGCATGTATGGATTATTGATTTTTCATGCACATTATGAAACATACATTTTATTTTTCGTATACAGTCTACTCTCTTCTTTCTAAAACTTTGCCCTGATTTTTTACTATTGAAAATCTCTCTCTGTAACGGATATTATCTGAAAACCATCTCATATGACCTAAAATATATAAAATAACTGTTTATAACGGATTCACGTGATCTGAAAAATTTTAGTATCACATAAAAAAATGCACGATTATTTCGTGTCTTTATTATAGTAAGAATAATATTATTATAAAGATTACTTGGTATTTTATATCTACATTTCCTTTTATTATTCTATCATTACTTTTTATTTCATATTTAATTATCTCACAATATGGTGCAATATACCAAAAAAAACAAATAAAATGAAACATTTTGCAAAATTGTATAAATCTGTAACTCTATATTTTTATTTGTTTCTGAATTGCCCTTTAAAAAATCAACTTTGATTTTTTCCATAATTAAAGAAAATTTAAATTCCAGTATCCTTTCTAACTTGAGATGCTACATATTTGATATTGTTTAAACTTAACTTTGAAATAGATGATGCTGTAAGTGTTTTTATTCGTTGGATATATACCATCCGTTGATTTTTATCATCGTTAATACGAAAAAAAAGGTCATAAATCTTTCGAGCACTTTCCGTTTTCTTTCGAATTGTGGGTTTGGAAATCTCCTTTTGGAGTTGATCTCTAACTTCATTATTAATCTTTTTCTGGGCCTCATGCTCTGGCAAATACTGAGAAAATCTTTCGAGAGAAAAATTAGAAAGGGATGAGGAAAATGATGACAATGATTATATGAATCCCGGTCAACGACAAGAAATGTTAGATCAAATGTGAACATCCGCCAATCTATTGTTTTATTTGTATGTTGTTATTTCAGCAACGTTTTTATATTAATAAAGTGAGATCCTATGGGATATGGGATCATGTTTTTTGATGGTCATTAACAATGTTAAATTTTGTGGACATTGACTCTATGCTTTAATCAGAATTTAAATTTTTGTGGACGTTCAGATAACTTGTAGATACCGCTAGCAAATGGTAAATTGCCGTGTTAGTGTGAATAGATAAAAAATAATGGTTGAAAACTTTATTTTAGAATTTAGAACTTTCAATTGTTCAATTGTTCAATACTTTAATATATAATTTTTTTTTACATGAATACTTTATATATAAATATACGTATGCAAATATAATACAAGAAATAATGTTAAATATAAATTCTATGATACACAAGATAAATAAATAATTTACAACCCAAGGATCTAGAAGAAAAATATTCAAGATTTTCTACTATTTTGTTCTTTTTTCAAGTTAATTAATACTTCAAATATCATATTTTTAGCTATCATAATATTTTCTTTGCTTCCAATGATTACAATCATATCATCACCGTTAACTTTGAGAACATCAATCTTACATCGACTCTCTGCTCTAATATGTGAAATAGTTGATCCTCTACGTCCAATAATATGTCCATGATACATTTGAGGAATTGATAAATATCCAGTACATTCATTAACCTAGCGCATAATTAATTCCATTTACAATGAAAGAATCAAGGAAGTGAGTAAGGAAGAATTTATTAAAAAATAAAAATAAAGAATTCTATATCGTAATTACCGCTTGTTCTAATAATTCATTTAAATATTTTACAGCTTGATCAACTTGTCCTTTTACACCTTTAAGTGTCCAAGAAATTTCTTTAGATTTTTTTTCTTTCACATTTTCAATTCCTGACTCCTCAACCTCCTTAACCTCCTCCTCCTCTTCATCATCATCATCATCATCATCGTCATCATCCTCCTCCTCCTCCTCCTCCTCATCATCATCATCATCATCATCATCATCATCATCATCGCTGTTGTTGTCATAATTATCAATAATTTCGAAATCATCGACGTCGTCATCGTCGTCATCGTAATTATCAATAATTTCAAAATCAAATTGATTTACATTGAATTCATCGTCACTATCTTCTTCCTCCTCTTCTACCTCAAGAATAACTTTATTAGACTTTTTGAAATTTGGTTTTTTATTAATAATTGTTGAGGTTTGTTTCCACTCATCTTCTTGATTTTCAACCATTACATGGTACTCATTTCTTAATTTTCTCGATGTAAATCCGTTATTATTAATTGTACTGTAGAATTTACATGGGAATTTGAACACATATTCATATCGAAGTTTTGATAATATTTCTTCTTTGGCAAGTTTAATGTCTTCAACTTTCCCCACTATTTTTACTAAATCATTATTATCTATCAAATCTTCATGCTGTTCTTCAATTTTTTGTGTCACTGTTATTTGATTATATGAGCGTGAACCAGGGAAATAAAGCTCAACATTAAATTTATTTTGAATATTATGAAGTTGGGACCCATTCCTGCCTATAATAACTGAATGTTCATTTCTGGGAACCTTAATAATATCGATTATTAAATTTTCCTAAACAAAAAAATTTTTTTTTGCGTTAGCAATAATAAAAAACGAATAAAAATAAAATCAATTAAATGAATGCATACTTGTTCTTCGATTAAAATTTCAAATTCTTCTTTAATTTTTTTCACAAGTTCTTCACTTCCTTTAATTACAACCTCATTGATTCTACTACCACCATCATCAAGTCGAGGAAACTTAACAATCCCGGCCTGAGAACTCTTATCCTCTGGTCCACCAGCTTTTGCTATAACCTCTTTAATACGATTACCACCAGGTCCGATCAAAAACTTGTGATGTTTAGGATCAATATTCATAATGATTGTTGTTTGTTTTTCAAATTCTTCAACAATCTCCAAAATCTTGTTCTGGGCCTTGATATTATCCCTTTTATTACCACGCACATTTACTCTAACAACTTGCTCATATAGCTTATTATTATTATCACCATTGCTGTTATCAACATTCAAAGTTATTGGTTTACTAATATCAATCTTTGTAAATGTGTCAGTCTTAATCTCTTTGATTCTTCTTCCGTTCTTGCCAACAACATGTGGCAAACATTTGACTGGAATAGTGAAACTGAGAATATTATCATGATCTTGCGCGTAGTGTAAAAGATCTAGTAATTCTGTTCTAGCCTCACTAACTCCTCTTTTACCACCGATTATTAATACTTCATCAGATATTTGTACATCTGGGTCTAAACCTAAATCTTCTTCATTATTTTGCTCAAATTCACGTTCAAATTCTCCTTCTCCTTCATCACCACCTCCTACATCTTCATCAATTTCACTACTAATACTAGGAGTGATGGTAGGATGATTCTTGTAATTATTATTTCTTGGAAATTTAATACGTACACCGTGTTTCACTTCTAGATTTCTAACCGTTTTACCTTTGGCACCAATCAATGAAGCGTGATAATGTGGTGAAATATTCAAACAAACAACGCTTTCTTCTTGTAATTTGTCAATCGTGTCTAGAATTCGACTCCTAGCCTCTTCAACATAAACTTTCATCCCAACTATTTTAACATTAACAGTCTCATCTTCTTCGTTACCACTATTGCTTTTATTGACATTCTTGTTATCTATATCTATCCTGACGTTGTAATTCTCTCTGATAAATTTTATTTTACTCCCTCCTTTACCAATAATATGTGAGGAGTAAATCGCCGGAATTGTAAATTCTGCCGTAAACGATTTCATATTCTAAAATAATATGTATAAATATATTATAAATGTGAGATAATAATATAGTCATAACATTCATTACAAGTATTTATAAATGTAGCGACCAACCTCAACACGTTTAATATCTTCCACTTTTTCATTAATTTCTTCAACTATTCTTTCAACTTCTTTAACAGGTCCTTTAACTATAATAGAATCATCTGAAACTTCTTGTGTATTTGACGATCGATCACCTACACCTGAATGTTTAGATGACCCAAATTTTACTGAAACAGATGAACATCCACTACCATTATCATTATGAATAATCGCATTCAAATTAATTCCTTTAGGTCCAATAATATGCCGATGATACTTGACAGGAACAACTAATGTCTGAGTAGAAAAATCCGATGACGAATCACGTTCTACTTTTAACAATTCATTTTTCACTTTTTCCATTATTTCCTTAATGTAAAGTTCTTTTTTCTTTCTATCAGAAAATTCCTTGACACCTTTTCTACCCTCAAAAACTATCAATATCTCGGGATTGGCTTCTTTCTCATCAGGAACTATTATTTCAACACCATAAGCATCTTTGACTCTTTGTAAATTTTGTCCTTTACGACCAATTACATGTCGATGAAATTTTGGATTAATTTCTACCACATCAAAATAACTAGGTGGCTATTACACGTGCATACATGTATGTATTAGTATATATTTTTTTAAAATTGTTTGTTACTATTAATTACATCAATAAGTTCATTTAACTCACCAAGTTTTTGATTATTTCGGTGATTTCTTTTCTAGCATTTTCTACATCTTCAGGTACTTTACTCACAAATTCCATAACCAAATTCTTCATTTCTGTTTCTGCTGATGCTGTAATCTTTGGAGTAACAATTTTTACGCCAGTTTTCGATTCAACGTTCTTCAACTTGCTTCTATTCCACAAATATTTCAAAATATTAATAGAATGTTTCATTGGATTTTCCGTGTGATGAAGGTCAGTAATATCAAGTATTTGAACATGCATAGAGTTTGCTTTTTTCATTACAGTTTTTATAGCATCTGCTAATTGGTTTTGTGGTCCGTGAATTGTTACGTTCGCTGATGGATCAGTTGCCGGTGGTAATTCTAGTATACAACCTGTTGTTTCAAGAATTTCTTGAAGAGTTGCACCCTTTGGACCAATTAAATATTTATGTTGACGTTTTGGAATCTCGAATTTAAGAGTACGTGTATTAATTTTCTATATGTTTTGTGCATATATACACATGAGTACGATAAATTCAAAAAAAATAAAATAAAATAAAATAAAGATAAAAAATTACAAAGAGAATATAAAAAACAATTTACCAAATCTTCATAACGGTCTTCAATCATTTCGCTTGCAATCTTAACTGAATTTCTTTCACCAGTAATAACAATATAATTTTTGTCTGCATCAATGAATGTGTTGTTGGAACTGGTAGGGTTGTAAGAAGGGACATGAATTTTTGTACCAGTATCAAGACCAAGCTGATTAATACGTTGATTATGTGCGCCAGCAATCAATGGATAAAATTTACTTTCGATATGTTTAATATAATGTGTCCTTTTAGTTGCACACTACATAATCATAATCCAATCATCCAATTAATAAAAAGACTTTAAACTAATAAAATATATAATTTATGATCAAATTAAAACATAAATCATGCATAAATAAATAAATCGTAATGTACCATAGATTTTATAAGGTCTTGAATTTCAACTTTTGCTTTACAAACAGCACACATCTCACCAAAAATTGTCACATTCATCATTTCCTCATCCTCGTCGTAATCCAATTCAGACTTTCTCATTTCTTCTCTTGGATTTTTAGAACGTGGTGGCAGTGTGATGCGTGCACCAGTTGAATTAGTGATTGACTTTAGGGTTGTACCACGAGGTCCCAATAAATGAGAACGGGCTGATGCAGGAACCTGAATAGTAATTTCATCCTAAACATAGAAAAAATAAATTAATTGAGTAAATAGTTAAATTATAAAACATTCATTCATACAAATGACTCTAATGCGTGCACACACAAAAAACAATCATTTAGAACTTTATTATTATTATTATTACTTTAAGACCGAGTTTATCAATTAAAATACGTTTTGCATTAGCAACATCTTCATCTTTTCCCTCAATTAAAAAAGTCACAACAGAACTTTTCGCACCAGGATCTACATTTATTTTTGTATTAGTTCGTTCCATCACTCGTCTAATAATTTCTGCTGCTTGATTTTTTTGATTTTTGGATCTTTTTTGTTGTTGAGGATTATTATGTTGTGATGCAGCCAACTCCAAATTTTCTGTGACAATGGCATTCTTATCGTTTTTACTAACACAGTCAGTGTTACTATTAACAATACTGCTATAATTAGTGGTTGTAGTGGAAGAAGTGGAAGAAGTGGAAGAAGCAGTTGATGTATTTGATGAAAGACTAGGGAAATTTGCATCATATAGATCAGGGGTAGAACGACCAGTTGAGTGACCAGTTGAATGTGTATCATTTGGCTCGTTTGTTGTTGTTGCTGTTAAATTGACTTTTTTATTCATACTGTTATCATAATCGTTTACTAAAATTGAATTAGTATTATCCATATATTTTTTTGGAAACATCAAAGTAGCTCCAACATCATCCAAAGTAGAAATAGAGTTAATATTATCGGTATTATTATCAACTATGACAATTTGTCCGGTTAATGACATGATTGGAATTAAAAATCAGGCAGAAAAAAAAGTTTTTCTTTTTTTTTTCAGAGATTTAACCTTTAAATTGGTGACCAAAGGAATTTATAAGAGAAGAGGTAAATTTTCTATTTTTCTATTTATTGTAAAATTTTAATATATATAAATATAGAACACAGAAATTGACAAAAAAATTTTTTTATTTTCCGTGTAACAATTTATATTGTATCAAATTTCTGCGCCAGTGTGGCCAGTTTTTGAAAATCTAGATATATCCGATGAAGAACTAAATCCATCATCTTCATCGAATATAAGTAAATCAACCATTTTGTTTTAATAAAGAAGGATTATTCAAAGGTGTTTGGATAATTTCCATCAACCGCAAATCAACAATTCTCAAAGAATGATAATCACTTATCTACAAACCCAATTTTTTGTTTCATCTAGAATGGAAATATCCGTAGGAGATAAATGGAAAAGAAACGCATAATAATAAAGATCCATAAGAAGAGCCAACATTTATACAATGTGCCATCATATCTTCAATTATAGATGCAATGGACCCTCCATCATGGTTACAAAATAGCTTTAGCAATCATAATTAAAGATACGTCTCATTCTAATCATAAACAGTAATTGTCACTTGTTGAAATCTTGAATCATTTGTAGGTTTCAATTATTGTCAATCAATTCCCTTTTATATCCGAAGCAGTCATTAATGAATCAGTACGCATTTTTGGCTTCTTGAAATAGCGTTAGTAATCACCCATTCTTTTTAAACATCCTAACGCACATAAATTTATTCTTTGGCTGTAATTAATTAATAAAGTCTGTGTGATTGATTCATGACCCTTTCGATGATTAATGATTATATTGTTTGTAGTATAGTTGTATATTTTATTTTAGTTTGAACTAACTTGGCCGTGTGCCAGATTTGGTGATTTCGTAATAAATAACTTGGAACACACGTTCGCAATATCTAATTTGCAAAACGTATAGCAAACGAATACGTAATCTTAAAGATTATTTAACAGAAGATGAAGGAGTAAATGGAGGAACATGGGTCTGATGGTATAATCACACCTTTGAAGATTGCGTCTTGTGAAATACCCGACATAAGATTGTACAGGTAAAACAATATCTATATTTCTAATGTTGATCAATGTCCGGTTAAAATAATGAAAGATATAATACTTGTTTACAGCCCAGAATAACAATCTAAAGCGTACAATAGAAGACACATTGATAATATTTTAGATTATACATGTTGTCAAATTAAATTGGATTTGACTCAATTCAATTATTTATATGTTTTTCATATGACTCAATTAATTGCGTTAAAAAGTCACCACATGTATAATTTAGACACTGACTACTGTTGTGCCATTCTATAGCAAATTTGATTTTCTTTCACGCATAGTGCATATACATAGTGTGTACGTAGGATTCACACATAGCATTATGGGATAACAAAAAAATCTCACTTGCTATGCCACGAAATATGCGCAGCACATCACTAACTAATCCTAGGAGAATTTAAATCTTCAAAAGGTGATTTTTGAAAATATACTATTTCACAAAATTATCATTATTTACGTGCAAGAAACGAGAACCCGTAAGCAGCAAACCAGATTCATGCTTCAAATTAATACATCAAATTAATTTTGAATGCAATAAACATCATGAGTTATCAAAATTATAATATTTCATTATTACTATTACTATTACTGTTACTGTTACTGTTACTGTTACTGTTACTGTTACTATCACTATGTTTCAATCCGACGGATAGTCCAACTGATGTGTTTTTGAGTAATGAATGGATGAACGAATGTCCACGGGTCGCATCATTATTCAAATGCTTTATTTTCGTACTATAATAAATCCGGATTTGAGTATATAATTCTTTATTAATATTAAAATAAGAAAATAAGAAATTCGTTGGCCAAAATTTTCGTTGATCATCACCTTATTTATCACCAATGTTTATTTTTTTGGGAGATTATCTGTTATCTGTTATCATTATTATCATTATTTATTTTGAAAACGATTTTTTTAAAGAGTGAGAAAAAACAAAGTTTGTCACAAACTCTCATATAAACTTACAACCAACTAAAATAAAATATAGCAAAAAATCAAAAATGTCACCAATTAGAAATAAAATAAACCAAAGATCTAAAAAACAACAAGAACTTGACCCAAAAGATATGCCAGAAACTGCATTTATTATTTTCTTTTCTTTTAAATATAAAGAGGCATTAGATTATGTGTTTTTTTGGCCAGAGGTATTATCTATTGATACATTATTAATATCATTATTTTGTATGATAATCACTCAAATGAATATCAATATATTAAAAAGGATTTGGAAGAAGCACTTTGTAAAAACGAAAGAGATGAAATTTTGGAGAAATTATTATTATATTTCCTAAAGAATCTAAAGAATCAAGACAAACTTATCAAGTAACATTTAGACTTATTATTATGATTATTGTTATTATTATTTAGATTAAACATTTCTGAAACAAATATCACAAATAATTTTTCATTGATAAATTTTAGTCCAATTTCTTTACATAAAGAATTAGTAAGTCATATTGATAACATTATACGAGAAGATAAAGGTTTTTATACCAGAGTCAATCCTTTAAAAAATGTTGAAAATTTTTATAAATTATCAGTTCGTGACAAGGTTAAATAATATTTATATTAGTGAGTGCTTTATTATTTTTAATGAGTGGTTTTACAAGTGATAAATATTTACACATATCTATTTAATAGGTTCTAATATTGAAGGATATGGTGATTAAACAATTTTATGTTTCCACAAAAATTAAAGAACTTGTCAAAAAAAAATATCCAATGAGTAAAGGAAATGATAGTATTCCATTTGATGTTGAGAAAATAGGATCAGATTCCGATGGTTCTAAATATTATTATGTTGGAAGTAAGTTTTTTGATAAATATTAATATTACATTCATGTAGGTACTATTGTTAACCTTATATTCATGTAATATTATATAGTTGGATCTAGGATTTATAAAGAATCTATTGTAAATGATAATGTTTTATGGAGTGTCGGTACTACAACAGTTGAGGATGTAGCAAATCTTGAGAAATATTTTGAGAAACGCCTTAGAGGGATTCCACTTGAGCAACAACATGCTGATGAAAGATCTTTCTACCAAAATCTGAGAACTGTCATTGTTCCTATTCTACGACAGACTTTAGAAAAAGTATGTATATGATATTTAGAATATATAGATAGAATATGATATGTGTACACATAATAAATATTTTTTCCACTAGGAACAAAAATTACCAAAAGAAACAAGATTAAAAATCTATAAATTACGCCAAAATCAACTAATACAAAAAAACATTGAATTATCAAAAAAGAATATACAAATGAATGAAAATAATATTAATAACAATAACAATGGTGAAATTATTGAACCACCACCACCACCACCGCCATCATCATCATCATCATCATCATCATCATCATCATCATCATCATTGCCACCACAATCATCTTTAACAACACCACTGCAATCACCATCAACAACACCACCAACAACACCATCACAATCACCGCCATATCAAAATGTTATAGATACAAGTATAGAAAAAAATGATTTAAAACCCATTAATTCTCCAAAAAGAATAAGAATAAAAACCGGAACCAATAATAATATTTTGCAAAATAAAGAACCAGTAGTAATAGCACCGGTGGTAGTAGTTGGTTCATCTGATAGAAAAATTTATATACCTAACAGTATTGAATTACAAAAACTTGAATGGTCACTCAATCATCGATTTTTTCTTGAGGAGGAAGCAAAATATGATGAATCAGAAAATACTGATGCGGATTTATCATCATAAATAAAATTGATTGATTGAGAAAACAGTTTTCTCCAATTCCTAATATACATATTTCTTTTATTCATTTTATATATGATAGTTACTTGATAATTAGAAGTGTCCTTTTATAATAATAATAGTAATAGATAATAAATTAATAAATTAATAAATTAATAATAGACTTTATATAAATCTATCTATGTATTTGCAATTTGTTGATGCAGATTATTTATTTATAACACAATAAGTCAGCTTCAAAATACTATATAAAACAAAAAATTTTTATATCATTTTAAAAAAATTAACTGGATAAGTTTTATTGTTCATGTATGACTCAAGCTTCAAACTTTTCAACGATTTTGAAAATTCCAAAATTTTTATTATACACTTGAGAAATTAAGACCAAGTTTTGTGTGAATATTTCATTTTTTTTATTAATAAATAAAAATTTTTTAAAAAGTTTAACAAACATTATTAATATGGATGGGTCAAAACCAGGTAAAATGAACATTGGTTGCCAAATGTGCCATAAATGATGTCCATTTAACTTCATCAGGATAAGTGGCCCCAAAATTTTCCAGAGTTTTTTCTTATTATCCTTCAAACAAAGAATAGGAGAGTTTGTCTTTAGATCAAGGCCTCAAGTTTTTGATTGTTGATCTCTGATATTCTACTTTAAGAAATTATAGGACTTTCATTTGCAATGTAACCAGGACCATTAACTTGTGAATATATTCTTGCGATATTTATTAAGTCATTTGAAATCTAGAAAAATATTTTGAGGTGAAAGATTTGATTGCTGTGCAAACATGAATTATTATTGCAAAAAATTATCCTGCAATTCATATTATCAGCAATCACTGATGGTACCCTTTGTTTCCCATCCAATCCACGATTGTTTATCTCAATTTAAACATTGAAACCATCCCAAAGTTTATCAAATTTATTTTGAAGCTTATCGTTTTTTTTGCTAATAGTTCTTTCATTACTCGACCATATAGAATACCATTTATAAAATTATTTTTATACAAATAGAACATCAAAGCATGACCACTTGATACCGTCTTTGGTTTTGTTAACATAAATTTTTTTATGCATTCACACTGAATATTGTTATCCTATGAAATATTCAAAAATTAATTCTGTTAATATTTAAATCTATAATAAAAATACAAATTCAATAATTGTCTCCACCTATTACCTTATTATAAAAAAAAATGAGGACCTCAACTTTCAAGTTTTTATAAAAATATAACCCTATTACTATTTTTTCAGTAACAATTTTTACCTCCTTGCCATTTATTGCTTTTTTTATTTAATCTGTCAAACCAAGATATTGACTTTAATGCCATACTCATTGTGATGATGAGTCCGCCTCTACTTCCTTTGTTCACTATTATATTGATTATATGCTTGTTTGACGTTTGGAATAATTACTTCTATATTTTTTAGATGTCTAAGTGCATCTAACACCTTGCAAAATTCTTCTCCATGGTCACAATATGGCACCAGTGATTCCAAAATCTGATGAAGTAAATTTGTTTTCATTTTATTACCAATTTAAATTGGAAACTACTATTTTCCTTTTTAGATACTTTTCAAATGCAAGTGTCATTTTATTAATATTATTCCCGTCAGACAATGTGCAGAAAGGTGTATTTATATAACAGTTGGATCAGAGAGACCGAATAATTCTTTTCTATTATATCTATTCAAAATATCTAATTTGTTCCAAACATCAGATGGTGGGCGTCCTTCCAGTATGCATGCAAATTATTTCACTTTGAAAATATGTATCAATTTGACACCCTGTATCAACTATTGATTGGCATATTAAAGATCGATTTCCAGAATATACAGAATGATTCTTTGTAAATTTGTCCTTTGTGTTGACACAATTAGAATACATCAATGCTAGGATTTGGTCTTCACTAAGTTCACAACACACTTTTGAAAAGGTCCACTTTAATTGGCCAGAAATAAAAATAGGTTGTACAAGTTTTGAAAACATTGAAATATTCAATAAATTATAAATCGTTATACTCTTGCATTCTTGTCAATAAACAATGGCATAATATCAATATTTCGACGTTATGGAGGGATCCATTTATTCAACTACCAACATTCAAATAATAATTAATTGTTTATTACAAGAAGATAAAAATTTTTAACAAAAAATAACATTACATTAGCTTCTCAACTATTAAAAAAACCACCATTACATAATTATGCTGAATTGTTTTTCCATTGATTGAGGAAAGTTATTAATAAAAATCTGCTGGTAGCTAGTTGTTATGGTCACATTAAACTTGGACGTTTAAAAGAAAGATCAGTGAATTTTATTTTAGACTATTCAAACATCAAGTTTATTGAGATTTATGGTTGTGAAGGATTGTTAAATCGTAGTTCATTCACTATCGATAATTAATTATTTAATTATGGAAAAAATAATTTGGATTCAATAATAATACCAACATTAAATAATTTGAAGATTTTAAAAATATCTAAAGGTCATGATGGTATAAAGTATATGAAATCTATTCTGTTCCCAAATATTGAAATTATAAAATTGAACATTCATTATTTGCCATTTCTATCAGACTCGTCAGAATTCATAAAAATTAACGGAAGCAGTCTTAAAATTTTAAAAGTTGGTGGTAATCCAGAAGATGGCAAATGTCTGGGTGATCTTCAATCAATTGGACAACATTATCAAATTTGGAACATTTATCGATTATAATGTCATTAATTTAAGATCTATTAAATTTATTAATACAATTAATGGTTATGGAATTTTAAAAGCTTTAAATCAGGCATTACCAAAAGTTTTAAATGGCATAGCTTTTAATCATGATGATGCCTAAACCTTTTAAAATTGAACTGGCATCAATAATTAGAAGAATTGAATAATTATTTGATTTATTAAAAAAATATCAGGGTTTGGAATTTTTAAAAATAATAAAATCATCAATTTATCAGTTGGTTAATTTTATATAATGAATTCTGTTATTGATTTTAATAAATATATGGGAAAGAAAAAAAGAACAGTAACCCGAAACAAAAAATGTTTGAACGAAGATCTTCCTTATAATTTTTAAATTCTAATATCTCGCACTCTTTGCTACGAGAATATCGCCCACTCCTACCTGGTGAAAGACTTAAATTCCATCCAGTTCACAAATGATAAATATACTCACTTTTCACCATACCTAAAATTAATATTAATTTGAAATACTTCCATTTGACAATAAAATTGACGTCATCTTTAATTTATCTATCACTTTTTTGAAAAATAGACTTTAGAAACTCGTCTCTGAAATATTACTTGATAATTGGTTTGAAAAAAGATTCTATCTTCAATAACAAGTTTGCCAGAAAAAGAAAAAGTCCACAAATATCTACATGCTATCATATACAAAAATATATATACTTCCAAGTTGTAACAACTAAGGCTCCCAACGAAACAAATTGAGTCGGATTTAAAAGCAAATACTCATTTCAACGAATCTACGAGAAGCATAAGAAAATTACATTTAAATCGCGTTTCGACGAATTTTATATGTGAAGTATAGATTTTAGCAGAAATTGTTTTTGCGTTTTCCCAGATATTCTGGCAATATTTCAGATTCTTGATGTATGAACTATGCTATTTTGTTTATTTCAAATTAAAGAGACCATATAACTTTGGATGGCTATACTATTAAAATTAATTACAGCTGCCATGAAAACTATTTCGGCATTTCATCTATGTAACGCGAATTTAATTATAATTCGCTGAAACAAGATTCCCCAAAACAAGGAATTTATTTTCATTAAATTAGTATGTATATATCGAATCGAAACAGGTCAAATCGCACCAAATCATGATTGTATAGTTGGTATATATCGAATCAACAACAATTAGGTGATTCAATTTCGTTGAATTCGTTCAAAGCTTTAGTAACAACTCCATGAATGATCTCAATTCAAAATCAATTCCCTAGAAACAAGAAAATTTATTGCAATTCAAATGACGAATTCTCTGAAACATTCTGAAAAATAGTGATCCTATTCGTATCTTTTATCCCATGTTCGGTTATTCATAATGCTTGAATATTCATTCATAATGGTTTCAAATATTAATAATAAATGTAAAATAATGAAAACATGTTAAATTCATTAAATAGTCACCAGCACTTGACCCATTTGGAAATCGTTCATCAATGATGGAACTTTCTCTGAGTCTTTCGCGATTTGTCAAAGTTGTGGTTTTTTATTTGGTGAATTGCATTATCTATCGTTAGTAATGGAAAATTCAAATTTGTTTCTTCATCTTCATCATTATCAATTTAAAATAATATCATTATTTACTAAAGACATTTTCATTTAAGAATTGAAAATTTTTTTTTATTTATCAATTTAAGTAACAATCACAAATATTCAAATATATCTCAATGCATTATGGATATCCTAAATATTGTCACTGATTTCGAACATGCTCATTAATAGGGAAGAATCCTTCTCATATTCTCCAATAGAAAATCAGAGTGTTATTGAAATTCTGCGACAAACATTCAAATTTACCTTATAATTGATAATAAAAGGAAAAACAGCAATTTCAGCAGATATTTTTTATAGTTAAATTTCTCATTACCAAAAATATGGTCCATACTAATACGTACAATTTACTTTAGAAAAGTTTTGAGTAGTTTCAAGATATTTTCTATAGGAAATATTAACCGGGTTGATTATTATCCTTTCCTTTATCAACAAAAGCGCGAAAATTTACACTGGTCGGTCGGTCAGTCATTTTACAACATTTCTTGTTTTATTATTATTAATTAATAATAATATTTATTATACTTTCTTTTTACAAAAATTAAATTAAATTAAACTAAATTAAATAATACAAAAAACTTTTAAATACAATGTTTAAAATACAATAAAATTTTACGAGGAATAGATAAATTGTCCGTATTATAATTATGGATAAGCGCACATCGCCGCAAAATCGCACCCAATCTGATCACTAAGTAACTCTTTAAACTTGTTCCAGTCGCAATATTCACTTTCACAACCCGGAATAACAAACGGTACAAAATCAAGCAACACTCGTATCTTTGTTTGGCCAGCTTCACAAGTATAAACTTCGAAATAAAGCGTAGAAGACCAATGTATAGCTATTATTTCTGTAAATTTGACGTTTTTAATTTGTTCGAGGGTAAAATTTGCCGTAAGTGGGACTTCTTCTTTAAACAATCCCTGTAATCAAAAGATAACATATATATATTAATATATATATCAATTATCGTTAAAAAAATAAAAGACGAAAAAATGAAAATAAAAATGAACTTTTTCACATACCAATGCAGTAAGCGTTGAAAGTATAGTGTATCCATGAGAATTCTTTAAATCAGCCATCACAGTAGAGGACCCATTTATATAGCTATCAATCCCATTTACGAGTTGAGTAATATATCCACAGGCCAGTTTCTTAGCAAAAGGATGGCCATATTGTAATATATAATATCCGAGAATATCGTAATGGTATCGTACTAATATAAGCTCATCAGGACTTAGTAATGAACACCATGTGTCAGCTCGATTAAAATGAGTGACCCAAAATTGGCAATTAGTAAAGACAAAAGGCACTAAAGCTGGATCAAGAGGTGGATCAATAGCGTGTTCTGTAGTAAGACGTTTAGCAATTGATGCTAGAGTATTGTTGCCATAGGCATAAAGTTGTTCGTCGAGTAAGTCATTATTAGTCAAAACGGTCTCAATCCAACGCGGGCAGGAAACGTATGGTAGTAACACCGAATCTTGAGTCTATGCAAGAATTATATAATAAGACGCAGATATATTAATATTAATATACATATTAACGGACGGATTCGAACAAAAATGTTTTATAAATGGCGTATTAAAAAACTTACATCTGGCACAGACGAAATGTATACGGGTTGAATTTTAGCCTTGTCTACAGAACCTTTTCCATTAAATAAACCTTCAGAAAATGACATTGCCGACGCGCCAGCTCTTTAAACAGAATTGTATTTTATAAATGTATGTGTTAATAGAATTCCAAACATGGTAAGATGTGATGAGAAAGACCATATGCAAATATATTAAATTGTACCTTGAAGTAGCAGAACTTTGAAATTTTATAACTTCGGGATCATATACAACTTCATCCCAAAATTCTGCATATCTTTTACGAGACTGTATGCCATCAAAAAACGGTTCTATTTCTCCTCGTTTGATTAATTGAAAGTTTTTCTTCATTGGGAAAACATTTTTATACTAAAAAATAAAAAATTTTTTTTTAATAATGATGAATTTTGGTAAATACGACAGGAATAATAAATAATTTTTTATTACATATTCTTTTGTAACAGAAACATTAGCGAATGCTATTTCTAACATGTCAAACCCTTTAGTATCAACTGGATCTGGAAATCTTGATCCTAATAATTATTTTAAAAAAGATTATTTTATGCTTTCAAATTGGTACAGGTATTACGACGACGAAATAATAATTACCGTGTCTGGCGTTCAAATGTAACTGTGTTAATTTACATTTATCAGGATAGGTTACGGGTTCAGCATTAGGAGAAAAGGCAGTTCGTGCTGGTTCAAGGTAAAATAAACGGCTGTTTATAAGTTGTTCTGGTGAATGCTTGAACAAGCATTGTACTGGATTATAGGAAATAAATAAAGCGAAGATAGAAGCTGAATATATTTTATGATATGAAAACTTCATTGTTATTTATGAAATTGTAAGTTGCATCCATTTCAAAAAGGTGTTCCTTTTATATCTTTTATCATAATATTAATTAGGAATTCTATTTTTAATTCCTTCGAATAATATATTCTTTCCTGTTTAGTAAAAAAAATAGGAATAAATAAGTCAAATAATCTCGAGCGAAAAATTATTTTTAGTATTGTCATGATCATTATTTTATTATTTATTATTTATTATTCATTAGTATTAGTATTGTTTGGGATTAAGTTCATGATATTATTTGTATATAGGAATTGTAAGAATGAAAGTTTGTTTGTATTACATTTAGATATATTAGGATAAATTAAGATTTTATATGGTTCCTTTTCATGTTTCAACAGTGAGTGGCATAGCGCATAACAATAGGAATTGATTTTATTTATCTACTATTACATGTCATATTGCGCCAATTTTTATCGTAGTAGGGTTTGAAGGGTTTGAATTCGACCGAATTTTTTTTTTGTGCATGTAAAAAAAAACAAAGATCTTACCAAGTAAAGTAATAATCTTCCTTAAAGAAGAAAAGATGGACCACGTTATTATCAATTGCCATATTATACCGTATGTAACGCGGGGTTTGTTAACAATTAAATAATATTATAATAATACAACATTAAATTGGGGACGCTCTAGTAAAACCGGGTTTCGAGACTTTTAAAAATTTTTTACATAATATTAAACTATAACATCATGACTATAATTGGTGAAAAAAATTAGATGCTGTTTACTTGGTACAAAATAAATTCTTGGGGCAACCCAAAATTTTCTTTTGCCAATTTAAAAACCAAAATTTAAAAAAGTAAACTTTCATATTTCATAACAACAATAATAAATAATTTAATAAATTTAATGGTCACGGAGATCCCTGCTAATTCATAATTTTTATTATAATTTTAACCTTTCTAATTTAAAGGTGAATGAATAATATTAATATTAATATTACATGGAAATCGTAAAATAATTTTCAGGATATTTCTGCGTTCAATCATTTGCACACAAAAAAATACGGAAATTAATATACATATATGAAATTAGTTACACAAAAATAAAAAAGAATAATAATAACCCATTCATTATTATAATCTCATTTCCTAATAAATAAAAAAATATTCTATTCTAAAAACTTTCATAAAAACAATAGTTATTAACCAAACAATGTAAATGCAAGGGTGCGAACATATGAACACTCAAGAGTTACATTAATCATATAACATATGACATGACCTTGAGTGTTCATACGTTTTCACCCTTGGTCCCCCACTTAACAAATTGACTTATACATAAATATTGAAAGGCATGATTTTGACTGCTAATATAGAAAAAAAGTGAAAATACTTACCCAAGGATATGACAAGAATCTTCAATACAATGAAATAGAGGCTGACAATATTCCTTTCCTCGAATAAATCAACATTACAAAAAGCAGACAGCTGAAAATCCATGCTTCGAAATAAATCTAATTTTTGTTTTCTTATTTTTATATGAAACTTTCCAAAACTCACAGGTGCTAAAGAGCAATCCTTTTTTCTTTACATAAGTAAAGGAAATAAAAAAACATTGATGTGTTCTCTGTTTTATCTACCTACACTAAAGAAAATATAGTAAATTTTTCACGCTCTCGATTATATAAATTATTTTGGTGCAAGACTCTCAATAAATATATTATCTCAAAAAAATTTTTTTTTGTTTTTTACTATTTGTATGCAAATTTAAAAGCATTCTAATTTAAAAAAATGGCAAGTATTCCAGAATGTTATTATTGATTAGATGAGTTGAAGGATGATAGTAAAAATCAATAACGAGATTCTGTTTATTTTACATAGTCTGTTCTTTGTGGAAGTTATATCTTCAGAAATGAAAGAAGGTGTTTCACTTGTACTTTATTAAGTAATTGATTCATTGTTGAAAATTAAGCATATTAACATCATAATCTATTTTTAAATAAGGAAAGCAGGAAATTGATAATGGTTTGTTTTTTATGATATTTAATGATCAATGGAAGTGGTGGAGAGAAAGGAAAATGTTGTGTTAAATATAATATTTCATTTAGTGTATATAATAATTATTGAACTTATAATTCTCGTTAAATAAATTTTTATCTCTTCGTTTTCAATATACAATAAATTTATCATCTTTTATAAAATCACATGACTACAGTTAAAACATTTGTGTTATTATGGTGGTAGTAATGGTTGCAATGATGGTAATGATTATAATAATAGTGATGTAATAATAATCGATCACTATTGTCTTGTCGCCTTCTTGTTGTTATTTAATAAATGTCATATAAATAGTTAAACAATATTTATATTTACCAATTACTTACAATTTCGCCAATTCCAAGTTGATCTTTGAATAATCTGACCGATTTTTTGTGACTTACCGTATTGTTTATACGGTAATTTCCTTTGATGATTTGGATTAATTCATTTTCTATAAAAATATATTAAAATCAAGTAATTTTTGATGTTTTGACGTGTGTAACATCCTTAACGAATATTCTTTTGCCTTTCGTCTGTATCTTAACACACCTATTCAATCAATCCCTTCTTACCTTACATAATCCAGTCGTATTTCGTACATTGAAAAAATGAGATTCACGAGATCACTACTCTGTAAATTTCAACTCCATAACAACAAGAAGCTATATTACTAATTTCGTTGTTTGTCTCTTACCTATTCAAAGATAATAAACAACTGAATTGTGTTTGGTAAGCTCTAAGATGATTACTCTACACTTATTTGTTGCTTTGATAATGAGTGATCGTTGTTCACTATGTTGTAAATAGGGGAGAACCAACCTTAAAATGTTCAGCGACCTTGTTCAACGATTCTTTACAAGACAAATCTCAATAATTACACACACCTAAAGACGTACAATTAAATCATAGAGAATCGGCAGCATTTAGCTTTAAATATTGTAGCTGTTTGGTCACATTAAAAAAACTCATCCAACATATCGAGGTGCTAGATTGATGGTCATATAAAGGAACATTTACATTTCGAAATTTTTGTAATGTAAGTCTCTGGTCCTCCAACAAATACTAATCGCGGCCATTACACAGAGAACTGTAATAAACTTCAAGGATTATTTTGAATTTTATCAGAATGACACATCTGGAATTTCCACAATTTCGTAAAATGAAAGTTTACAGTGTACAAATTTAGAGTAAGTTCCATCAGCTGGAAGGATCATTGTATGTTGGTCACATACTCATAGTTTCTTCCATTACATTCGTTTTATATATACAATATGCCACTGCCACCAATTGAGATATGTTACTATAAGGGAAAATTCCCCTCTCGTTTTCAAAACGTTACCAAAATCCTCGACAAACTTGTGAAAATTGAGGCATCTAATTGACACAGATACATACAAGGGATGTTATCATAACCAACATTCTTGAACACGCGTTATTAGACAAATTCTTCAAAAAAAAATGTCAAAGAAAAAATAAATTTTGTTGTCAAAGATTCTTCTATGATCTCTGCAAATTTATTTTTTATTTTTACCTTTTTTACTATTATTCAATAAAATTTTTAACCAGGTAAAAATTTTTTAGAAATGCTTAAAAAAGAGTTTTTTAAAAATAATATTTATTAAAAAATTTTAAATACTTTTTAGATAACTACAATTTCTTCCAAGATATTTTTTATTGCTAATCTTAAGAAATAAAAAATTTAAAATTTTTTAGAAAATACTGTATATATATGACCCTTTGCTCTCTTGTTTCGATTGAATTAATGCAGCCAAGAGATTCTTTTTGAATAAATATTATTATCACCTTTTCTGAAAAAAAAAAAAAGCAAATACCGTGATCAAATTAAAATGTGCATTATAATCTGTGATTATTATTAGCGGTAATAAACAATTTTGATATTAAGTAATTGAATCCCTGTAAAAAAATTTTTTTATGGATGTAATAGTAATAATAATGGTAATGTTAATGTTGGTTTTGGTTGCAGTATTATGCAAAAAAATCGGGTTTTGCTAGAGCCCCCATATATATAATGATGCAATCTTCTTTATTCTTATTTACAAATAAATAAATAGCGATATGCTTAAAACTATGATTGGTATTTTTGATATTGTGTTAAAAAATAATTCATATAGAGCAGTTATTAACAATTCCATATTAAAATTTTTTTTTCAAAGGTAATTGATAATCTTCAGAATTTAAGCTACAAGTTGATATAATTTTTTGTGTTGTGTTTTTGTATACTATTACATTCGGGCATCTGACACTTCGTGTACAATACTTTAAAGGAAGAGAATACATTTTTCCATCATCATCATCATCATTATCAATTAAAAACATGTGACGGGTCATAAAAAATAATATGCCAAAAGATACTAAAATTTAGCAAAGTAATTGATAAACTCTCAAAATATTAATACGCGATTCTTTGTCACCACCGGGTTTTTTTTTTCACAACACACTTTATACCTTCTACATCACCTTCAATTTTTACACAACAAATATTCGTTAAACCTGTCAGTGGCACTAATACTTTAAGTGGAGTGCCCATAACAAGATTAGATAATGGATGGTAGGTATATTCCCAATACGGGGCTTTTAACGTAAATGAAGAAAAAAAATATACAATCGAACTATTGTGTTATTTGTAGGAAAGAACAAGAATATTCGAGTTTTGCAACATTCGTTACTTGTAAATAATTGCAGACTCACTAGAAAGATTACTATTTATAAAAAGAAACATGAATCTTGTTTGTTATATAATTTGAATAATTTAAACAAATTGAATAAATATTTAAAACATATAAAACAAGCAAGTAAAAACAAATAATATTGTGAAGTGAAAATGTTTTTTATTTAAAATAAATGAAACGATGATTGTGATGATGAGGTGTCAAGTGTTACACGGATATTTGAAATATCAAAAGAAAGCGCTAGAAATTTGCTATATTGCCATAAATATTCAAATCTTGCAGTTTTTTTTATCCTAATTTTATAATCTTACGATTTTTTACCTTTTTTTCAATTCTTTTTAACATCAAGAAATTTTGAAAGTGAATTTTAATTAATAATGGTTCAATCTTCTTTCAATTACCTTTTTAATCTATAATCTTACAATTTTCTTTTACATATATTTTTTTCTTATAAATTTAAATGTATTTTTTTTAAGTTAATTATATAAAACAAAAAATAGATAATTTTTTAAAAAATGTCTTCAACAGAAAATATTAGTGAAAAATTATCTTCAGATACATCAAACGTTGATCTTGAAACACACAATTATCCATTTGATAAAAAAATAATATATAAAAGCCCTAATCATTCATTCATTTATAATATTATTAAAGAAGGTATTTATCCCAATGAACCAAAATATACCCAGGCTAATTCTAATGGAAAACAATATCCTATACCTGATGAATATTTAGTTGAAACTGAATTTGGAAAAAAGAAGCATATACTTAAATGTTCTCCTAAGTATCATAATGATAAGTTTGTGTTTTATTTGAATTGGAAGGATAATGAAAATGAAAATTGCCAAGTAACCTCAGAAAAATCTGCAACAGATGCCACTCAAAAATATTTAAATAAAACTTTTAGCTTTTGTTTATAAAATATTTTAACATGTTATTTATTATAATGATTTTTTATTATAACAGGAAAAACTACTAGAATGCCTGGAGTTTTGTTATTTGTACTTCAACTTCAATGTGTACATAGTCAACATATAAATGGAAAGCCAACAAAATTATCCCTTTTGAAGAAGCCAGTAATACAACACATAGGAAACGTTTAAAAAATCTTGGATAATTTTTGTGAACCATCAAATAATATTTTATATTCCAATTCAAGCAAACTTATTGGAGTTACATTAAAAATCAATGATCAATTATATTGTCTTTGTTTTAAAGAAGATGATAGTGAAAAGAAATACATGCTAAAGCAGTAGTTCAACAACTTGTTCAACATAATATATCACAATGCGGATATCATAGTTTAGCAAGACTTGAGCCTAATTTACCATGAGAAAATATGACATCAAATGTAAAAAAGGAAATAACAAATCTAATGAATACTGAAATTCCTATAAATCCAATCAATTTTTATTCACAAAACATTGTTGAAAATGGTGATAATGACAATGAAACAGAAGGACATCATGATTTAGATGTTGTGCTTGAAAATGAAATAATAAATACTCAGGGTCAAGGTGGATATCATAGTATAAAGAGAATTTTAACATTTGTAATTAAAATGTTAATTAATCAAAAAGTACTTGATTATTCTTTGGATGACAAGATACATATTAGAGTATCAGGAGATGGAAGAAATGTTGGTAAAAAAATCAAGCATGTGATGATTACATTTGCAATTATGAATGACAGAAAGACAATTTTTTTGAAATTTGAACGCGTGACGCAACAATAGGAGGTCTTTAGACCGGCCAATCATAGTGTAACCGGTAACTTTTTTTCATAGCCTATGTTTGCCTTTTTTTCTTCCTTATTAATGCGAACATAAGGTGGGCGGTGACATTTTTAAATTTTAAAGTACTTTTCGAATCGTAGTGTTGGCGGTGACATTCAATAGAGTTTTTCCGGTCCTGTTAATATTAAATATGGAATTTATATCTTCCCATGGATCCAATATTTAGTATATATATATTATACCAATTACTGACACTAATACCAATACGGAAAAGCGCAAAGATTTCTGTGTGGTAACACAGAGATTGGAAACAGTTATTTTTGTTGGTTCTTATTATTATTAATTATCAATTACAAAAATTTATTATTGCATTTCTCGTAACTCCCAAATTTAATAAAAAAGTTGGGTGATCCACAGTGTATGAAACAGATTTTTTTTTCACACGAACTGACTCCTTTTTAAAGCTGAATTGAATGGTGCCGAAGCTTGTTTAGCCTGATGCCAAAAGATAAAACCTCTCACATAGTGCTGAAATGCGAAACTGCTGAAATGTCGAAACTGTCAAAAATGACAAAATTGACAAAGTGCCAAATTATAGTTTTAACTAAGGTTTCTATTTGAGTAAGGTTTATTTGAAATATTCGCTATGAAGTTGAGTGTTCGGATTACATTGAAGGTTTATTCAAATAAAATGAATAAAGTGAGTAAAACGAATAAAATGAGTAATTTGAATAAAACAAATAAAATGAATATATAATTCAAATTAGGTTGTATTAAATAATTTGAATAAGCGAATAATTATGAATTTATATTACAAATAAAAACTCTAGACTAGGTAACCAATTAAAATAGTCGATTATTTAGTCTACTATTTATTTGAATATTAATTAATCAAAAAAATTTTAGTCGATTATGCTAGTACACAGGCAAACTCGATAAGTCGGCCGCATAATTTATATTATCAAGTACTTTAAACAATTGATTACTGCGGGCCGACTTATCGAGTTTGCCTGTGTAGTTGGTTAATTAAAATAGTTGGTTTCCAACCTCTAGGTTAAACTATGGCGAAATTATATTAAAATCTTACTAGCAGTTATACTAAAATTTTCGGCAGTTTCGGCAAGCAACCTTACACACGAAAAGTTACATATAGAGCAGTATTAACTCAAAACTTCCTTTTTTGGAGGTATGGTTCATTTTTATTGAATATTGCATCAAGAATAAAACGTTGAGTCAAGAAAATTATCGTGTCATTTTTTGCAATCACACTCTAAAATCATGAAAAGAAGCCTGTTGTTGATATAGAAGCAGCAAGACATAAATATATTGAACAAAACATAAAAGTATACCACGACGTTTACAAAGATCATTAACTTCTTTATTACTAATGATTGTGAAAAAATTAACATTGCAATAATTGAAGCATCCGCAAGGCTCTAGAGAAATTGGTAAATTCAAGCCTTTTTTTTAATTTATATTATAAAATTATTATTATATATTAGGAGGTTTCATTGTAAGTTCATGCCAACTGTAAGGAAAATATTCATCAATAAATTATAAATTTGAAGTGGGAAAAGTTAAAATTTTGATAAAAGATAAAGAAATTAACTGTTGATGAAAAATTTTAATTTAAATAATTATTGAAATGAAAAATCAACACTAAGCCCAATTTTATTAATATATTTGGTGCCAGCACTCTGATGCTGAGGTTATTAATAAATATTTGTATCAACCAGATTACCGCATTTGAAATTAATTATCTCCTGCCTATTGTGTATTGATAAATTTTATTGAATTCAAAAACAACAAACCACATATAGTGCAAGACACCTAATCCCGCAACTTTTTATTGGTCTTGTAGATCCATAACGGAAATATAACACCAAAAAAAAAACAAATCGTAGTTTTGAAGCTAAGACCTTTCTCTACAAAAGTTACGATTGATATGTCATGTTACCATGGGGATATCAAGCCTAAATACTATGTTAACCCCCAAAACTGTCATATTACATGCGATTAATAAAATAGTCACATACATATTATGTAACACAATATTGCCGATTTTACTACATACAGTCTACTCTCTCTATAACGACCTCTTTATAACGACCACTAAGTAAAATTTCTCTATAGCGAACTTCCCTTTTGTCCCCGTTTCAATTTTTTATAATTAATTTCTCTCTCTATAACGACCAAAAGCAGAGAAATTACATATAGGGACAGAGGGTTCGTTATAGAGAGAGTGAACTGTATGTATGAAATATTTACATGACCAAACAATTTTTATTGCATCATACATTGGCGCTCAATACAGTGAGCCTACTATATAGTAAATCGTACGATATAGTGAAGTTGGAAAATTTCCCATTTCATTACATATAAATTCTGCTCGATATAGTGATTTTTAATATAAATTCTCGATATAATCATATAGTGAAGTTTTACTTGGTACCCATTATATTAACTAAAGCTCGATATAGTTTTTATAAAAATTTGTTGATCATTACTTAATTGTATTAAATAATAATAATTTTTGAATTTAGTAATTTGCTGCAAAAAATAAAGTAATTAAAGTCATTGATATTTGAACTTAGTAATGTGTCGCAAAAAATAATAATAAAATCATATCACGGGATTTTTTGTAAAAAATTTTTATATATGAATCACACTATACAGTGAAGTTTTTTGTCAAACCAACTCTTTCTTATATCGAGCGCCGAATGTGGACTATCTTTTATGGAAATTTGGTATCCCATATCTTTGAAAACGGAGGAGGAGGAGTGGTTTGAAAACGATATGTTTACTATGTTCTTTACGTAAATTTCGGAAATTCTGCAAGTGATATGCAGATCACAAAAAAATCACATAACCAATTGTGGTGTTGATCATCAAACATATGTTACATCAATAACAAATTATTATGTGCGGATTTTTTTAGTATCCTTATCATATATTTCAACACATTGTAAATGTTGACAACCAAATTCAACCAACAATATATTTTTTTGAAAACATGAATTATAAAAAGAAATTTCTATTAATTTGTCAGTTGCAATGTAAATTTTTATGGTAAAATTTAATAATAAATTGAATAACTTTAAACCATGATAACTTTTTTTTATATAATAAAATTAAACAAAACTTTTTATAGTTTTATTGTTTAAGTCTTCTATAATAAAGTTACAAAGAGCTTTTTTCCCTATCTCATTTGGTTATAAAGTTTTCTTATTAGCAATCTTTTTTCAATTTCTTTAGGATATATAAAAAAAAACTCTCTGTAATCTAAAAGCTTAATCTATTTACTATAATTTCCCTTAGTTTCATTTCTGTATCTCTTTATTTGAAGGCTCTGATACAATTTTTATTTATATAGTTTTTATATATTTTCTTATTTTTTCAAAAAACATCACCTAATTTTGATTTAATTAGGGCATCTCGCACTCCAATAACCGATCAATATATTAATTAGTTTTTGATTTTCATAGAATGTTGCCTGATTGGTTACACGGGATCGGTATTTCTATTTTATATATTAATAATATTTAATATTAATATTAATATTGGTATTAGTATGCGGGAATTAATGGCGCCGATAAAATTTGATCCAAGATATTTTACTCGCAAAAAACCCGTTTTTTAAAAATAAGATTATTCCCACATTCGATGACTACATTCCAAGGGGTTTATGAAACTTTAATATTAAAGAACAATATTTCATATACAAAGTGGGTTCTATCATCAAGTCGCATATATAAGAGCGAGTAGAATTAACCCAAAATTGCTTTTTTCACATTATGATCCTTTCTATACTAATACGAAAAGAAAATTTTAACTGGTGACTCGTCGTCTATCAGAGAATTTGCTGCGGAAATCTTTCAAAATAAAAGATTTTTTTTTTTTTTTTCAATACAAGCGAATGTTGGTGTAGTAGGACAAAAGTATAACAGAGGCAAATATTATAAATCTCAAAGTTTTTGATTCTAATAATAAATTATTTTATATAATAAATAAATTAGAACATACAAAGTCACATATAGATTTTGTATATGAATGATTCCCAAAAGTATTTGAATAATAAAGTGATAATTTATTATTATTTTGTTGTCTCATTTTAGAATATTATTATTTGTTGCTGACTTTCCAATTTATTACATCGAATTCATTTGAGTTATAAGTTGATTGTATATCTTTTCCATTAAATTGAGTGACACAATATTGATTTTTTGTACAATCCAAAAGCATTTCTAATACTACTAATAACCAATAATAATGATCGGAAATCCCGAGGATAATAATAATTACCTGGATAAATTATTGTCCAAAAAGTTATATTTTTTAGTTTTCGAATGGGGGAAGTGTTCTCCGGATATTTTTAACACAGACATTATCGTGTAATGTTTTCTTCACATAAATAAGGATGATTTTTTTTTTTTTACCATGGCAAAAAACAATTTCATAATAATATTAAACAACAATAATAATGCTTATTGAAATTTTCTTAACATTACTTGTCAGTTATTTAACATATTTATGGGTAATTTATCCATTTTATTTATCGCCTTTACGTAAAATACCAGGTCCACCACCTGACCATTTTTTATTAGGAAGTTTTGTTAAAAATATTAAATCATCTCAGGTAAGCAAGACAGAAAGTAAAAAAATGCGAAAAGAGAGTGCGTGAAAGATAGCGCGCATGCGTGTGGATTTGTGCATGAAAAATGGCATTTTTAATAATTTTTTTTTGCATAAATATACAAAAATTTTATTCATAGGCAATTATAATAGATCAAACGGATTTGGTAGATAAATATGGTGGAATTTTCAAAACTTATGAACTATTTAATAAACAAATCCTTACTGTTACCGACGAGAAAGCTTTACAAAAAATATTAGTTAGTGAGGCGACTGATTTTATTAAGCCTAAAGGATTCGCGGGACTCTTAAAAGGAATTTTGGGAAATGGAATATTGTTTGCGGAAGGTGAAGTACATAAAAGACAACGTAAAATAATGAATCCTACTTTTAGCCACGGTAATATAAAGGTAATGATTAATTAATTGGTTAATAAAATAAAATTTAAAGTTTCTTTAGCATTAATTTGATGATGATTATTTTAGGATATGGTACCAACATTTACAAAAATTAGCAATACTGTAAAGGAAATGTGGAAAAATGAAATAAATAATAGTAATGATGATGATGTTGGAAAAAAGAGAGCGAAAATTAATGTGATGAGTTATACGTCAAAGGCAACATTGGATGTCATTGGTATAGTAGGTAAAGATCATCCTTATATACAATAAATATTGTAATCAATTCTTTTATTTCTCAATATAATTCTTTTATCACTTTATTCTAATAGGATTTGATTATGAATTTAATTCATTAACAACATCATCAAAACTATCGCAAGCATATGAAGGTTTATTTGACTCAAAAAATCGATTCGCGTTAGCATATCGATTATTAGCAAACACCTTTCCCATACTAAAATTATTGCCAGTCAAACAAATCCGAGATATCAAAGAAGCCACATCTGTAGTTGATGAAATTACAACCAAATTGGTTAATGATAAATTAGACAAATTTGCTAAAGGGGAATTAAACAATAAGAGTGATTTATTGAGTGGTTTAATAAGAGCCAATAATGAAGGTAATTTGGATGAAAGTGAACAAATGAAGTTTGAGGAATTAAAGAATCAGGTAAAAAAATATTATTTACTACTGAATATATATATGTTGATGATGATGATAATAATAATAATAATAATATTTTCCTTAAACAAATATATATATATATATATAGATTATGACGTTTTTATTGGCAGGACATGAAACAACTAGCGTAGCAGTAACTTGGGCATTATATTATTTATCTAGGGATCTAGAAATTCAAGATAAATTAAGAAAAGAAATTATTAAAGAATTTCCAGATAAAGATATTGTACCAACATTAGAACAAATCAATTCATTGGAATATTTAAATGCTGTTTGTAAAGAAACTCTTAGACTTGCTCCTCCAGGTATGTTCTTCTATTTAACAAAGTGTTGATTATGGTTATGATTATTCTTGTTATTAATTAATATATATATATATTTTTAAAAAAATAGCTCCAATTACAGTTCGTGAATCAGCAAAGGATACCATAATTAATGGATATTTAGTTCCAAAGGTTATTATCATCAATCATTTTACTATCCCATATATTAATTACATTAAAATATATCAACAATAATCATATATTTTTTACATCTTTTAGGGAACAATAATATTTGTACCAATATTCACAGTTCACAATATGGCGTCAACCTGGGGTCCAGATGTTAGAGAATTCAAACCATCACGTTGGTTTGATGAACATACCAAAAAGGTCATAACAAATAGTAATTATATGCCTTTTATGATAGGTCCAAGATCATGTATTGGTAATAAAGTGGCATTTAACGAAATGAAAGTTTTCCTAGCAGTTTTCTTAAGAAATTTTGAATTTCATGAAGTTGAAGGATTAGAGATCAAGAGACAGTTAAATATGACTTTTAGACCGAGTCCATCTTTACAATTATGGGTAAATGAAGTTGATAACTAATTGATGATAACGAGTGAAGAGAATGGGGGGTTTTTTTTTCAGCAAATAATTTTCAATTCAATTTCATATAAAATCAAATCAAATCATAAATTATATAATCTTTTGTTTTTTTTCATTATTATTATTCTTGTTACTATTATTTCATTTAACATTTCTTGTTTTACAAAATTAAAGGCATTAAATATCCAATAAATATTTAAACATTAAACATGAATCAGTGAAGCCCCCAAATATGCATGCCTTCATTCAATTACAATTAGCCAGTAGAATTGTAATGATCAAACATACAAAAGAGTTTGAATTCAAAATGTCACCGGTCACTCAGGTCACTCTACAATAGGTCATGTTTCCAGCATTGAATTAATAAATTAATGAATCGTTAAATTTAAATAATTATGATAAAACATTCCAATATTATAATCTTTGTTTATGCTCACATACCATATTTCACCGGCTGTCCAAGCTAATTGCTTGATTATTCAACTCAAAAATCAAAAGAGCTAAATATTTTGCATCGTCAAATGATGCAAAACATTTTTCAACTTTAATAAATTAATGCATTAAATATACACTGTCTGGAAGAAAGTATCCGAACCTCGATTTGATTCGAATTGGATTGACTACAGAACGAACCAAATCGAATTGAATCACTCTAAATTCGATTTGATTCGTTAGAAGTCTTAATTGCATATTAATTCGTGGTCATTAATATCATTCAAGATCTACAGTTTAAACGCCAACATTAAACATTATCTTGATTATTTTATTGAATGGCATTGAATATTTAGGAAATTTACATATTAATAGATCAGAATACATCCATATTAGGTGAAAGATGAAAACACTATAGATAATGAGCTAATATCAATTTGGAGGGATCTGGAGAATTAGTTTTGTGTACCATTTTATGATTTTAACTAAATTTACCAAAAATCTTATTGGCTGTTTACGAAGATTGCTGCCATAAATATAAAAATTTGACGTAATGAAGAAGATTATCTGCTTATCTTATACGTATTTAGTATGATCTTCGAACGTTATTTACCCAAATTTTTCTTAGAATTTTACCCTGTAATATATATACTATATTTCTACTTTTAAAAACTATATGTTTTTTACCCGAAGGGTTCTGGAAACCTCAAATTAGAAATTTCCGAGTCCTCCTACCTAATTAACCCATCAAACGGTCTAACTTTTTTATTAGTATTATATTAAACATTTTTCAACTCTTCCTCCATTAATAACAACCAACAAAGATTAACATGATTGCTAACACGACTATTACAAAAGTTCCTTCGAATTTGTTTGAAGAATTAATAAATGAAAAGCAATTGAATTTATATGAATATGAGCAATTTAACAAGATTAAAGAAATTAGTATAAAGGAAAAATGCAATAAAATTTATAAAGCAATTTGGAAATTAAACAACGTTATTGTGACATTAAAAGAATTGATGGTTGATGTTACTTTTCAGGAAAATAGATCTATTTTACATTCTTTTATTGACGAGGTATGAAAAGAACAATGAATAAAATAAATATTATTATTGTATGCTTAATTATGCTAAATAATGCATACTTTTTTTTTTTAGCTCAAGTTACACAAAAAGTTGGATTTTCACTCAAATATCTTAAAATTTTATGGAATAACCAAAGGTAACGAATGAATTAATTTTAGTACGAATAGAAGAAAAAGAGTAGGATTAACGTTTTAATTTATTTATATTTTATAGATCCAAATACCAATAGATATTTGTTAGTGATTGAGTATGCAGATGGTGGAACTTTAAGAAATTATTTAAACAAGAACTTTTCATCATTAAGTTGGAATGACAAATTAGATCTTGCAAAACAAGTTACAAGTGTAACAGCTTGCTTACATTCAGAAAACATAATTCATAAAGATCTTGTAGGTTTATATATTTATTAATTATAAATATAAAATATATGTTTAATTATTATATTAATCCATTTTATATATATTAGCAGGCTGACAGTAATGTACTTGTTAATAAAGGAAAAATCAAATTTTCTATTTTTGGATTATCCTTACAATCAACATCAGATATTAAAGATGATATGACATATATTGGTCCACAATGTTATGAAAAAAATAATAAAAAATCAGATATTTATAATTTAGGCTTTTTACTTTGGGAAATATCAAGTGGTAAAACTCCACCTAGAAACCTTTACCTACCATCAAATAACAACACATCTTCATCTTCATCTTCATCTTCAATAATTCAGGAATCATCAGCAAAAGGAACACCACAAAGTTATATAGATGTTTACAAAAACTGTTGGAATGATGACCCAGATAAAAGACCTGACATTAATGAAATTGAAAAATTACTAGGTCAAATTAATATTACTTCTAAAATAAGGAATGGGATTTCCACAACAAAATCTTCTTCCAATACTGCTAATCAAAAAAAATTGATAAAATTAGAAAATCGAAAATCTATCGAGAAAAAGAATACCCCACCAAATATTAATATTATAAAATCATTGGATGAACGAAATAGGATTATCAACAAAAATATTAATAATAGCAGTACTAATAATAATGGTAAATCACTAAAAACAAACAGAACAATTTCCTCTTCTTCGTTTTCTTCAAGAAGAAGTTCATTTAATGATACATTAAATTCTTCTCAAAATCGATCAATAGCTCAAAATAGAAGAAGTTCATTTAATGGTGCGGCATTTACATCATCATCTACATCATCATCTACATCATCATCTCCATCATCTCCATCATCTCCAGTAACCAAATTTCATCAAATTCCACAAAGTCCAACAAAATTAAATTCTTCAAACAATAGTATAGAAAGTAATAAAAAAATTATAGCAGATACTGACTCAACATTTTTTGAAAATTTATTAAAGTTCTTTATAGAATTATTAGAATTATCGGGTGATAATAACTATATAATATCCAGTCTAAAGGGATTTTTACATAATCACATGAGAGAACACAAATCAACTTTTAAATCATTACTAAAAAATTATAGTGATGATTCAGATTTTAATTTCATAATAGGATTTTTCTATGAAAATTCTATTGGTACAGTGCAAGACAAACAATTGGCTTTCGAACATTATGAAAAATCCGCAAAAACTGGTAATTCCATAGGTCAATATTTTTTAGGCAGGTGTTATTATTGGGGATTCGGGATAAAGGTTGATAGAAAAAAAGCTTATGAATGGTTAAAAAAATCTGCAGATAATAATAATTTTAAAGGTAAATGGCTATTAGGCTTATGTTATGAAAGAGGCTATGGCACAACAAAAGATTTGAAACAAGCCTTTGAATTGTTTTTGAGTTCTGCTGAAAATGGTAATGTTGTTAGTCAGATGGAACTAGGCAGATGTTACGAAGAAGGTGTTGGCACCAAAAAAAATATTAATCAGGCTATTGAATGCTATCAGCAAGCCTCTAAACGTGTTAGTAATAGTTTGGCTCAAAAGAAACTAGACAATTTGAAGAAAATTTTGGAAAATAAAAAGAAAATTTTAGATCAAAAAAAATTTTAAAATATTATTTTATTATATTTGCAATATTAATAATATTAATAAAAAATTTATATATGTAATATTATTGTTATAATAAAAAAAAATAATTTTACATCAAATTTCATAATTGAAAAAAATTCTTCTGGTGATTATGTTATATTTAATAGGAGATTTTTTTAAGCTATTTTGTTAATATATATCTTGATCATTAATAATGCATTACCAAAGATATCTCTATTAAAATTTACAAAGTCCGCACTTTTCAAATTTTCTCAGTTCACAATTTACCAAGAAAAAGGATTCTAAATCATTTTAACGTTAAGCCTGGTTACATTTACAAAAAAATACAACTGTTGCCATAAAAGTAGTCGGGGAAAAATTTTCGTGGACAAAAAAGAAAAGTAAAATTGTATATTTAAGTGCAGTTCAAGAAAAATTGCAGGACATGATCTATATTCACGTGATAAAATAAACCAATCAGATAAGATTTCACGATGCGTGGAAATAAATAAAATAAATGCTAACCAAGTCGCACAAATTGTTTTCCTGAAACATTTTCAAAGGGGATAGCAACATGCCCAAGAGTTATAAGAATAAGGTTCATAATTTAGATGAAAATGATAATTTAGAAATAAAGACAGAAAGTGAAAATAGAAATATTGTTTCTGGTAGTCAAACTTTGTTGAATGAAGACAGAATTGTCTTGAATGTTGGTGGCATAAAGGTAATTTAGATTGATAAATATACTATATCTTCTAACAACAATTAATCAATTTTTACTTGAAATTTTTTTACTTAGTATGAAACATATCGTTCAACATTGACAGCATATCCAGACACATTGTTGGGAATAATGTTTGCGGAACGTAATAAAGAAATGCTTCACCCTACAAATGGGAATGAATATTTTTTTGACAGAGATGGACATTTATTTAGATATATTTTACAATATTATCGAACAGGAAGGATCCATTGGCCAGAATCAACACAACAAAATCAATCAATCGATAATGATATATATGATAATAATGAATTGTATTATAACAATAACAACAACAACTGCAATAATAATAATGGTTCTACATTTTCAAATAATTCAATAATTCCAATTTCACGATCTGAATTAGAAATAGAATTACAATATTTTCTAATAACACCAACAACATTAAATGATAATAATCAAGTGTCAATAAATGAATTATCATCTTCTTCTTCATCTACATCTCACTTGTATGAACAACAAATCAACAACAATGACAGCAGTAGCAACAATAAGCAAGAATTAACATTTGCTAATAAAGTAGTAATACAAAATATTAACGGATTTGTTAGAGCATTAAAAGAAGCGTTGAAACAAGTAGCAGGGCTATTTGAAAAAAATATAACAATAGTATTTTATCATAATAGACAAGTACCAACTTTTAGTTTATTATCCACCACTCATTCATTAGTTAAAAATGAAACAGCACCATTTCATAATATAATTAAAAACATTCTGATACCTTATTCAGGTGTTGGCTATACAATTCTAATGAATTTTGAGGAAGAAATTCAATTATATTTGAAAAGAGAAATTCCTGAATTAACCTGGTGGATGCAAAAACCAACTGATCTACCAAATAGATTTGTGTTGCATCTCACTTTAAATGATAGATTCTTAAAACAGCTTATAATCAAGAATTCATGTTTATCATCTATTAATACTAAATAATATAATAAATAGCTTTATATTTTTTTTTATGTCTTGCATAATTTTTAATGTTGTAACATTTTAAACAACAAAAAAATAGGGGATTATTTGCCAAAATTATATATTTACATGTTTTTTTCTTTTAATCAATTTTTTTGAAAAAAATAAATATATGTGAAAGATGGGTAATGATGATGTTTATAAAACACAAACCATTCTTAGAAAAGAAGATTTCAGTGGTAATTTTTTTAAATGGCTCTAATATTGGTAATATTATAATTCAAAAACCGGGAAGTTATAAAATACTTGTAAAGATAATGGGCAAGAAGCAGAAAATAATAACAATGATAGCAATATAATTGATATGGAAACTACACCTAGAAGAGCACAAGATTATATTATTGATGATAATTTTACATATAATCTATATAATAATGAATATGAAATTTTGGTTAAGGTGAATGAAATGGTTGCAACAATTGATAATGATATGAATCAGGCAAGAAAAACTTTACAGGTGATTAATTTTGACAATAAAAATGCTAAAAAAAATTTTGATGTTTGGTATTTAAAAATAATAATCTTTAAAAAATTTTGTTTAAAGGAATTTTCCAGAGTAATTAATAATACAGATAGACTATTGGATTTATGGGTAAATATATTATCACAAAGTATTTATAATCAGCAATTAATATCAAATAAATCATGGCAAGGTTTAATAATGGTTAGTTAAAGAAAAACTAATTAAATAAACATGTATATATGCAAGAATGGGAGACATAATTTATTTAACTAAATTTTAGGAGCATTAAATCCAATAGAAGATGCGAAATTAAAAGTATCAGAAATTCAAATGAAAAATATAAAAGTAATTTAGTATTAGAGAATCAGTAGAAAATATGAGAATTAACAAAATCATGTATTAGTACGTAAATTCAAAATTTATTAATTTATTGTTAATTTATTTATCAACTAGCTGAAAGATTAAAAAGATCTGCAGTGGGAAAATTCTGCTATATTTGTAAGATTGAGAGGTATAATAAAATGATTCAAGCAAAAAAATGATAATTATTACATGGTGACTATGGCTAAAAACCCAATTTCTATTTTTTTTCGAAATAAATAATAAAAATAAATGAAAATATGGATTTATAAAAAATTCCTTTGGTTTTCATTATTATAATAATATTTTATATGTTAAGACTGGAAAAATTCCTCGATATTGAAGTTACTAGAATGATCCAATTATTAATCTATTAATTATATTATAGAAAATATTAATGGTGGTGATGACAATGAATCTAAAAAAGAATATTATTATCCCAAATTGGAAATTAAAGAGAAAAAGACAAATAAATTACTTGAAAAAATAGCAGAATTTTATGATATGAAATATTCAAAACTAGCATTAGTATTTACTATTCGTGTAATAGATATTTACTTTTATGGTAATTATAAACCAAATTTATTCGGCTTAACAAAATAATTATGTTTTTAGTTAATATTAACCAATTTTGATTGTTTATAAAGCGAAAATCGGGTTCGGCTTATCTGTATACCTGGAGGAGAAATTATTTGATAATGTTGATAATGATAATTATAAAAAATTCAGTTTTAATAGAACATCTTACCAATATGAAATCAAATGATAAACAACATTTATTATGCGAAAGTTCTGCATACTCTGCTGAAAATCAAAAATAAATGCAAAATACTAGTATGTATTTCCAATTATTTGCAATTTCTTTCAATTATTGTCATTCTATATTTTTAAATAGGCTTCCAACATCTGATATTCTCAATTATAAAAAAAATCCAGATTTTGCCATAACTCATATTAATATGGGACATTTATTAATTATAAAATATGATAAACTTGAAGTCCATGTAAAATTATTATTATTAAAAATTTACGACATGATTTGGAGTTGAGTCATTGGAAACTTAGCAATTGAAGAACATTTTAATGCAAGGTAAATAATTTCTCTTTTTAGAAAAAGAAAAAAATTTGCCGTAATTATTTAATTATTATTTTTCTTCATTAAAAATAAAGATAGATTTACCAATTAACACAAAAGATATTTATTATCGAGATGAGATTGGAATGCGTCAACCTCGCATTTGGAATATCATTATCAAAAGGATAAAGACAATAATAAATATACTTTTGAAAATTAAACCAAGATATTGTGATCAACACATTCTAAATGAATTCATTTCATAATGCAACATATGATTAAGTTCAAATTAGGAAGAAGGAGCAAAGTAAAAATAATTTGTTTCTTTTTATAAAAAATTTTTTTTTAAATAAAAAACTAAAACAAAAATAATCAAATTGAATTCCTTGGTTTTTATTTAGAGATGTAAAAGTAGAATTACCATTTCATATAGATGAAAAAATCTACCGGATTCTCTCTATAACGGACAAATTTTCTGGTTCCAATGATCCATTATAGACAGTGTGGACTGTAGAACGATCTATAGTTGTCTTCCTGATGGAATGCATCTATTGACAGATGTTGGACATATGTATAAAACAAATGGATTTTTAGATTTTTAGATTTTTACGTTGCAGAAATGGAATGGGGAATTGAGATACTTATCAATGGGATTAAAATGAAAGAGCATCATCAACGTTTCCAAGAGGGTATGTAAAGTTTATATGCAGTATTGTGTTAGACTATTGGTTTTACCTGCTAATGCATACTTACCTTTTATTAAGGTGGAAGATATGAACAAATACCAAATAAAATCACGCCTTCTTATTGACTTCCGTGAAACAAAAAGTGTGCGAAAGCCATATGTCGATACATGGTACATACATAACACCTAACTTAAATTTCACAATTTTTAATGTGTTGGTTGGTACCAACACTGGAATTAGGAGATTCAAATAAAAAAACCAATATCAAGTTAATAGACAATCTGGAGAAAGAGAATATAAATCAAACGGAAAATCTTCAGATTGTTGAAAACAAAGAATCTTCTGGATACTCATCATCAGAAAATATATTCATTGTGATTGTACAAAGGTATAAAAGAAGAAAAAAATGTAATAATGGTGAAAATGCTAATTGATTTTTAAATCAATAAACTTTAAAATGAAAAAAGAATCTTCAATTATTCAATATAGTATATTAAACATGAAAAAATTTTTTTTAATCGATTTACAGATATCACTTTTTGTTGTAGCAATTGATTGTAATCAATCACAAATAAATAAATTATTGTTAATATTTAATAAGTAATTTCTGTAGAAAAAAGTCAAAGCAAAATATATATTTAATAATCATAAATTAAAGTGATTGACTTTATCTTTCCAATTAATTTTTTGACAAAGTTACAATAGATCATTTGGATCCTTAGTACAGTCGACAATTGTTTCAACAGACTTTTTTTCTACAAATTTTTGTCACAACGAATTTAAATGAAGTGAATTCACAATTCACATATGTGAAATTCAAATTAGCCAATCAGAATTTACCCCACTCCATAATATTTCAATTTCACATACAACAAGTACATTGAAACAAAGAATTTCATAAATTTCATATGATGATCCCTGGTAATACAAATGTTCACTTTGTCTGGTTTTGTTGCAGCATGTTCCATATTATATACTGTTAATGCAAATTGAAAATATCTGACAAGATTTCAAGTCACAACATAACAGCAAAATGCCATGCGTCTGGTTTTGTTGCAGCATGTTCCATATTATATACTGTTATTGCAAATTGAAAATATCTATAACAAGATTTCAAGTCACAACATAACAGCGCGTCAAATATTTTTTCACTTACTCATTAATGGTAAAGTACAATTATTAATAATAAAATAAAAATAACGAACTCCTATAAAATATGAGGTTCCTTTTGTAAAAGCCCTTGACCCAATAAAATTTTTTTGATAGTAATTTTAATTTCTTTAACCAAATCTGGTATAATTATTATTATTATTATTATTATTATTATTATTATTATTTTATTGATTTATAAATAATTTAAATTAATTCTATTAATAAAAAATGATAAAATTTTTTTCTAAAGTTGTTTAATTAGGTACTAATACCAATCTATTTGGAGTATCGTGTGATAAATCTTTAATAACATTTTTTGTACTTGTATGTATTAATTTTTCAGCCATTTTTGATGGATGTGAATTACCAAATTCACCAATTATTAACGCAATAGTACCAGTAATATGAGGAGCTGCTTGACTTGTACCAGAAAAAATTATTCTGCCAGCATTTGACTCACTTGAAGCTGAAATTATATCTACACCGGGTGCAAAAATGTCCACGCATCTACCAAAGTTTGAAAAATCAGCTTTTATGTTTTTTCGATGTTCAATTGCACCTACTGTGATTGCTGATTGTGCAGATGCAGGTGATACTTTACAAGCGTCATCACCATCATTTCCAGCTGCCGCTACGACATGTATACCCGCATTGGTAAGTAATCTTACTGCGTAATTTAATGCTTTTGAGGTATCGCCACCAAATGACATATTAACAATTGTATTTTTATTTTTACTGGTCATGTGTTTATTTAACACAAATGCTATGCCAGCTATTACTTCTGAAACACGACCATTTCCAAGGGAATCAAGTACTTTAACTGAAATAAGTCTACTTTTTCTTGCTACACCAAATGTTTTGCCGCAAATAATTCCTGCGATATGTGTACCATGACCATTGTCATCAAAGTCTTCACATCTCATACAGAATGTACCTCCAGTTGTAGCACGACCTCCAAATTCTTTATGGCCTATATTTATACCAGTATCAAGTACATAAATATTTACACCTGAACCCGCTGAACTAGGAAATGAAAATTTTCTATCTAAAGAAAAATGTGCTTGATCTATACGATCTAAATTGAAAGTTGGATTAATATGTGTGATACTTTTACTTTTTAATGTATAATCACCACCATCATCAGTATTGTTATAATCCCCTTCAATGAAATCTGGTATAACTCCAAAAGTTGAGACAAGTGTATCTTTTTCAATTAATTGAATTTCTGGTAATGGTCTGAGTTGTTCTTCAACAAATAAAGGATCAAATAAACTTGAATAACCTTCAAGCGGGCCTCCTGAAAAGACAAACAATTGGCTCGACTTATAATGAAGTTCATTGCCAAAAGCAAATAAAGGGACTCTGCCCCAACATTCTTTCATGTACTTTAAATGCTTTTCAAGTATCAATGATTTTCTTTCGTTTGACACTGTTGTTTTAAGTAAAACCAAAAATTTTTTTGGTGGTTTTTGATATTTTTTTCTTAATTGAGTAATAGATTGAGGGCATTGAGCCTCGACTAATTCTTCTAATATTGAAAAAACTGCGAGGAAAATTGTAAATAAAAGGATAGAAAATTTAATCATTTTTTATGAATAAATAATATAACGAATGTGTATGTTTGAATTAGGTAAAATGCGAATTTATAATGGTTGTGAAGCGAATGGATGAATTTTGAGGATGGTGGAGGGTAAAATGAATGAAGTGTAAAATAAATAAATAAAATTTAAAAGCTCATTTTTAATTTTACCATTTATTTATTTATATTAATTAAATACAACGAAAATCTTACTAATAAAAGCAACAAGTATTTTCTTTCCATATTAATATAAAATTTAAATCTCCGCCTTTTTTTAATTGACCCAATTTTAGCATAGTTAAAAATTCTTTTATGGATAGTTCGGCGTTACACACATTTCAAGAATCTAAACCATCCAATTTTAGGGGTCCCTGCTAAGGTTTTTGGTCCAAACTGTTTCTCAAAGCCCAAGCTAGTTTGGGCAATTTGGGCTTCTCAACATTTTCTATAAGCATGAGCATTAAAAAACTATATGAATCAACTTGTTTTAACTTGAACAACTTTAAAATAATTTCGCTCAATTTCGGCTAATAACAAAAAGTAGTTGGGGCTTATAAAAAAATAAATTTTGCCCAAAGTATTTGGGCAATTTCGGCTATTAATAGAAGCAGTTTCGATCAGGAACCTTAGTCCCTGCATATAGTCACACAAGACATCAACTGACCATATTTGCATGATGTAGATGTTCTATGAACCTCGAATAACATGTGAAATCTAGAGGTAAATCATCTCGATTCAGTTACACTCGATATGTGTAATAATTAATTAGCTTATGTATGAAAATATAAACCACTTGAGTTGGCTTTATTGATACAGAAATACATAGTAATAGCACAATATGCCCATGCTAATAATCAATTATCTTCTCGATCTGAGGACACTGTAGAACTTCGTTTTTTTTTTTGACGCTCTGATTTAGCCTCTGGTGCATTAATCAGCAAAGAAATGTTGACAATTAGGTTATTCTGTATAATTGAGTAAATAATTTAGTCAACTACCATTTGCAAATTCTGGGTCGAAAAAAAAATAATACCCGTAAAATTAATAATGCCTCCACAAACTTCTAAAATAATTTGTGAAAATATTTCTCATTTGGCTCTATTTCAAGGGAGTGGATCTAGAGAAGACATATCCAGATTTGTACGAAGTATATAGATGACCCAAAAAAAGCATATAAGATTATTGATAAACATTTGCGGGAGCAAGATTTTGTGGTTTTCGATTTTACTAAGCCAGTGGATGATTCTCTCGCAATTAGGTTGGGATGAATAGGAACAACCAGCTTATTAATTAAGTAATAATTTTTATCAAACAGCAAAGCATAGGATCTATTTAATTAATTATAACACCCACATATTCACATATAGTCGTTCCGGAAAACTCAGAGAATTAGGGATTATATAAGTAATAAAGTTACCATGGGTTATTAGACATATTTATTATATCAATACATTTTTATCATAATATCATATTTAAACTCTTACCGAATTTGTAATTAGTAAATCAGTTTGGCTTCCGTTAACTAGAGGTTAACAAAAATGTAGTGAGTCTGGTCTCATCTAAAAACTTTAACGGATTCCCTGGTTCATGAACATACGCTAGTTTATCTGTTACATCATTACCAACAAGGGCATATTTAACTTGATTACCGGAGTCATATTTCCAGAGTAAAATTTTGGCTTGAAACCACTTGCTCCAATTATTATCATCCCCAATGGACACCTCAAACATCTCAGACGCACAAACTTGTCCTGCAGGTGCTCCATAATCCCCAGCTCGTTTTGAGATTGTACTCCACCCCTTCCTCCCAAGTATCCTTTTAACATGATGTGGCAAGATGGATCCTGGAGCATCTGTATCAACCACACATCGTATACTCTTTGTTGTTATTCATGGTATCATAAAAATCATATGAAAAAATTGCGATTAAATTATTTTCATTAGGTCTTCTAACGCGAATTCTAACCTTTATTTAGAAACCTAATTAATTTGAAAAATTATCCCCACTATTAGTGCGCTGAGAAATCACCATCTTCGCCGGCTTACTACGTGGCAGACGTTCCTGATCAACCGGGAGTTGGATAGCGTCAGGCATAGTTTCGAGAACGTAGTTCAATTGATCATCGCTATACTCCTTTCCATACTCTACTACCTTCTGGTTGCGTACCGTCACCCACTCGTTTTCATGTCCTGCAAACCCACCTCTATCGAATGTGTTGTAGAAAAATATGGAGTTAAACCCGATTTCGTCATCAAATTCGAACTCAACGTCAGCGATGTTTCTGAAGGCATGCCTTCTGAGATATTCTGGCATGGAGGAGGGCCACCTGAAATTCTTTCCCACGCGATCTACAAATAGGTTAAACAAACATCAAAATTCTACTACATGTATTGCCACTATGCTTTTCATGTACTTGAAGAAAAATTTGAACTGTACCGAGAAAACTTTGTGCCTGACCAGACTTGTGCTCAAATTTGTGGAGGCTCTGAAGCGTTTCGGGTGGATTTTGTTCCTTCATTATTTTAAATAAAATAAAAAGTCTGACAAGGGAATACTCAATATTAATATCTATATATGGTTTTCGTAAATACATATTCATTCCATTCATTAAAGAATATAAATATACCCAGCAAGCAGAGAAGTTGCACCAATTATAAAAAGGAAAGCAACGAATATAAATAGAATATAAGAGGAAAAAAGAAAATACAACACATTGATTTTTCAATTGAGTATATCAGATTCAATTTTAGTGAGGTTCAGTTTTATGTATAAATCATTGATTACGTATCCACAAACAGAATCAGTGTTGAAATTTCGTCGTGTAACTATATAGTACAAATTTAGAAACTATCTCCAAAAATTAAAAATTTGATTGACGTGTAATGTTACACCCGAACATTCAAGACATTGAATTTTCTACATTGTTCAGAATAATATATTTGTAGCCTATATATGGGTGAAATTATTATGATCGAGAATCGATATTTAATGGGGCTGTGCATGCATTATCTTTCCGCACAGCCCATTAAATACGTATATGCACTATAGATAATTCAAGCAATAATAAACAAATAACGTTTCTATCATTTATCTTTAATAAAATGAATAAAGGTGTAAAGCCGAAAAATTTTTGGTCCTTGTATAGTATGTGGTAATCAAGATATATATTATATAAACTCTATATTATATTATTGTTAAATATACCAATATAATTGGGTTTTGCGAAAAATAAGCCGTGAAATCAATCCTCTTGCCGATCTAATCAGTCGTGACGAAAGAAAAAAAATTTCTAAAGAAATTTTCTTTGAATTTAGACAAGTAATAAAAATAAACGAATTATTTTTCAAAATAAAAAATTTAATAATAACCAATGATCGGACTTTTTATCTATGCTGCCCAATTCTAATTGACAAAAAGGCACGTAATAATTTTTTTTGAAGTAACGCAATATCGCTATTAAAGAAAAACAGTAATCCGTTGGTCCAAACGACCTAATTTATTATATAAAGGGAAGTATTTGTTATTTAAATAGGATCATTTTATTTCTTATTTGTAATTAATTGAAAATTTGTAACAGCAATAATCAATAATAAATAAATATAACATTATATTATGATGACATCGCTAAAATAAAATAAAAATATAAAAATAAAAATGTTTATTATTTAAATCATTAGAGTTAAATTGTTATATTTTAATTGATTGTATGGATGTTTACAGAAAAGGCCTGACAGGATATTTGGCAGATATAAAGTTCGAAAATATAAGTCTCGTAGGTGAATGAATACTTGAATCTGTATTTAATGAATTAGATAATACGGATAAATGGATTTATGTTTTTTATTTCATTTAATAAAAGTTATCTGATAATTTTTTTTTTTTTTTTGGGTGGTGAATTTGAAATATGCATTTTTGATTATAAGTTATTTCTCAACACAATGATGACTTTTCACATTCCTTTTCATTCGTGTCCAAAAAATAGACGCTGGACAAAATATAGAGTATTATTTGGAAAGATAATAATGATACGGAGGAAGGTCAAAAAAATGAAAATCACAATAATTACAAGTAGGCAATTTCTGTAGTTGGAAATGCAGAAAACAAGTATTGTGATAGGTAGGGAATATCTATAGAGTCAACTCTATCCTACGAGCTTGTCTGATGTTAATCTTCATGGGATCATGGGATAAAAGTCAGACAAGGAATTAAAGCATGCTAGTTAATGATATTGCTAACTCCCAAAAGTTATTATGAAACGGGCAATGAAAATAAAACAAACACTGAAATTTAGACTATTGAAATTAGTCACATGATTTACCTATTTTTTACTGCGGATTAAATAATTTGTTTTATTATTATTATATCATTATTCGAATCATTAATTTTATTTATTTGAATTAAAAAATTTATTCAAATAAACTTTCAATGTAATTTGAATACTCAAATTCATAATGAATAAAACGAATAATTTGAATAAAACTTAATGATAACAACAATAATCTTATGTAGTAATAATAATAATAATAATAATAATAATAATAATTGTTACAGCAACAATAATAATGAGGATGGTCGATTAAGAAGGAAATGCATACTCAAAGAACTTGATTATTTTCAAATACCATATTCTCCATCAACAGGGAGACCAGTTTTCCAATGCTATATATAGTATTAGCAGAAATTCATTATGACATTGATTGAGTACATTGCTATTATTCGAAATAATTTTTTATGGAAGCATTGCTAAATTTCGAAGATTTTTTAAAAAACAATGGTTATAACAGTTATAACATGACGAGTCAACTTTAAAAATGAGATAAAAATTTTTTAGAAAAGGATGAAGAGGAATTATCCTGTTTTTTACAAAGAACAACACACCGGTAAAACATTTATACAGTTTACCAAAAATTTTGACTAAAATTCTACATTTAATAACCTAAGTGAATTAGATTTTTTTTTTTACCAGCAACCAAAATTACAGTCTGATGAGTTATATATGAAAATAAATAAATTGATTTAGTATGGAAATTTTGAAGGAATTTTGGAGAAAGTTAATACAGCTCATTTGTAAAAGATATCTATGTAGACGATGGAGGAGAATTTTTGGATCAAAAGTTGATGGTTATGAATACTTTTAAATCTGATTATGGGCATACTACTTTCTTTGTAGTCAAGAAGTATAGATCACACAAAAGGGTTCCAGAATCAGTGTAGATATTTTAAATTTTATTGATTTCCTTCAAGTACAAATAGAAATTTCTTAACATTATATCGTTTGTCTTTATTTATAAATAATTTACCATATTAAATGTAGTTTTATTCAATTATTTGATGTAATAAAAACTTTTTTCATGATACTTTTACTATGTGAGTGTTCCAATTTTTTTAATAAATAAAAAGAATACGTAAACAAAGCTGAAACAACTTTTATTAAATAAAAAGTTGCTATTAATTTAATTAGGATTATACAATCAATAATAAATCATACAACATCACTATTTTTTCTCTACCTCTATTTTATTAATTCGAAAAATCATCTCCCAACGGATTTCCTGTTTTGCAATTAGCAACAGGTTCTATACATAATAATAATAAATAAATATAAATAGTATAACCGATAAATTCTAAAAACAAATAGTAAAAATAAAATAATGAATTAAAGATTGTTAAAGAAATTTCCACGTTAAGATCCCAAGACACTAACTGAATCTACTAATAATAAAAACAAGATTATGGTTATATTATAAATATTTAAAAAAATAAATTCATTGAAGTTTCACCTAGTTTTAAGTAGCTCTAAACATGTTGGTCAATAAATATCTAAAAGTATTGAATTCCGATTCAGTAAAAGTTTTAGGTAATAAAAATGTCAAAGTTTTTGATTCATCCTGTTGCAAATAATTATTACTACTATTTTCTTTTAATTGTTTTGGAATCCTGGAATTATTTATCATGAAACCTTTTGTGCATTTCAGTACTGATTCACATCTTTTATACAATAAATTTTCATGTTCTTGAATTAAAGTAGAATCAGAAAAAACATGGGTATTTGATGGTAATAAAAAAAATGGTATATTTATGGAGTTGATGTCAAATCGATCAACTGTTCGTAGAATTTTTCTTAATCCAGAAATTGCTGGAGATCTAGGTGTCAATTCTGATTTTTGAATGGCTAATATTTGAAAAAATCAAAAATCAATGATTAACAATTATTTATGATGATGATGATGATTTGGAATTTTTTAATATAATTATATGATACTTACATTCAAATTCTATAACTAAATGAAACACTACATGAATCAAAGGTAAATTTGAATGTCTTGTGATAAAAAAATCACCTAAAAAAAATTTTTAATAATTATAGTAATTATATATTATTAATTACAAAAAATAAAAAGTTTTGTTTTTCGAAATACCTTCTTTTAAAGATGGCTCTTCAGTATCAATAGGATAAACTTTTTGAATAATATCAAGTTGTGTTTCAACGTCATTAAAATGGAATTCTGTTGATTCTTTACATTTTTTAAAAAATTCTATATAATTTTTTCGAAAAAAATAACTTTTAAAATATCTAATAAAAAAAACCATAAAATTACATAACTAATTGATAAGCAGTGATAATAAATTACCTTTGTTAGCACTTTTGCCAATTTTATATTTAGCCCAATCTTTTGGAGTTAATAATAAAATTAGAGCATTTAAATTTTGTGAATACAAATTTGCTGCAGTTTGTGCTCTGTATGCCATTTCTTTAGCTGAATCATTTGAGGAACTAATAACATCTTCTATATCTGATACTAATAGCCTCAAATTATTTGTGGATTTAACCTGATTTCCTATTGTGATTGTAAATGATTCCACTAAATGTGAATTGTCTAATTGCATATTATGTCCATGACTAATGTAAAAAGGAAAGTAAAAAAATTTTTTTTTAAGTATCTAATCATAATTGACTGCGAAAATAAAAAATATGTTTTTTTCTTAAATACCCATTGGCTTCTTCAAGTCTAAAATTTTCCATTGCTTTATTTATCCATAACCCAATTTTCCTACCCGTAGAATTTGTAGGAGAACTTAACATTGAATTTTGTTTTTGTTGGAAAAAGAATTGTGACCAATTTTTTTTTGTATCTTGTTTTGTCAGTATGGATAATGGTCTATTAATGGTTTTTGATCTTTTTGGTTGGGGTGGCAAGTCTTTTTGGGAGGATGAAGAAGATAAGTTTGACAATGATGAGTTGAATATTGGTAATGATGGTCTTCTTGGAATTGTTGGCAGGCCATTGGATATAGAACCACTATTAACACTACCACCAGATGATATAACTTCATTAACTCTTGCAATATCATCCATTAAAATGACTACTGCATTGTTCTAAAAAAAGATTTATTGATTATTATACATATTTATATAAAATAAAGGAATAAATAAATAAATTTTAAACATAAACCATATTTCCATTTGCAATTTCAAGAGCGATCTTTGCTTGTTCATTAGTGTAACTCATTTGAAATTCTTGTATATGATTTATTAAATTTATTAATTCAGGATCATCATTCTATGAAATAATGAAAAAAGGTATATATTATCAAGTTAGTGTACATGATCTTTTCAATATTTTCAAAAATGCATTCATTCATTCATTACATGATAAATCATTGGTTTTTTTTCTTCAGTATTAAAGCCACTTATAGCAGAAAATTTAGGTGAAGGTGGAGACATCAAAGTAGGTGATGAGCAAAACAAATCAGACATAGACCCAATACTATTCTGTCTACTACCATGTAAGGTGTTGAAATTACATTCTTTATCTAACTTCAATAATTCATTTGAAATTTTGGTGTTCAGCATATCATTATTTTTTTTAATTTTATCAATGACCTTTGAGATGATTTCTCTTCCATCTAATTTATGTAATGATGTTAAATCAGCAAATGAACCATTTGTATTTGTTTGATTTGTGTGTTCTGATATTGATTTTTGGTGTGTTTCATAAAGTTGTAACACAAATTCATGGTATTCTTCTTTTTGAAATTTTTTTAATTCTTCTAGTCTACTTTCTCTTATTCCTTGAGCTGTTTCAATTTGCTAAAAAAAAAAATTCTTGTTAAAGCAAAATAACAAATAATAAAATTAATAATAAATTAATAATAACCTCTTTATGATTTACAAAATTTGATTCATTGGATTCTAATTCTGAATTTTTTTCAAGATTTTGATTATACCTTTATTATTTTGTTTTTTAATCAATGTTAATAAAATTTTATAATAAATAATTTTTAAATTTCTCATTTAATAAATTTAATAATATTTTTATAAATTAAATTTTTATATCCAATAATAAATCAGTTTATTATTATAATCAGACATTTACCTAACTAAAATATTTTCATGTTCTTTTTCATACGAATCATTAAGTTCTTTAACAGTTTGTTTATAATAGTCTTCTAATTGTAAAAGCATATTAAAGATTGGGGAGATTTGTGAATGAACTAATGTATGATATTTTATTGGAAAATGATCCTAAAAAATAAAAATAAAAATAAAAATAAAAATAAAATAAATAATTCATTTATTTTATCATTAAATAAATTCATTAAATAAGCAAGATATATATATTCATATATATTTGTTTATATTACTTACCTCTACAGGTGTATCATTATATCTGACAGTATATTTTTTATATTTTGTAACAAATTGTTCACGTATTTGTTTTGCTTCTGTTTCTTTATCGACTAATTTGATAAACAGATCAAAACAATTAATAATCGATTTATATAATCTTAAAACTATTTTTCATTCATTCATTTACTTTTTGAATCTATTTCCATATCAATTCTCCAACTTTCTATCATCAGACTTTCTATAATTGATAAGATTGAAACTTCTAGATAACACGGTATATCATTTTGACTCATGAAAGTTCTTACAACATCTAATATTAATTGATCTTGTTTAGCCTCTAATTTTAACTTTACTGGAGCATGATTGTTCGGTGGTATAGTGAATTCAAAATCTATTGATAATTCTTTTATAAACTTTTGTGAAGTAGACATTTTTGAAAAAAAACTGTCGAATAGACGTTACACAACAAACCTGTGACATAATTCATATGTGATCGACGAGCACCAATACTGGTAATAGTAATAGAAAATAGAACTCTACAACAATTAATTTTTTTGAGAAAACCTCATTATTAAATTAAAACTAGAGACCTATTCTATCAACTAATAACGCTATTGTTTTAAAAGGTAGGACAGAAAGTGACTTCTATACTTTTAATTGACGATCCGTCCCTGAATGAATGAAATGTCAATTCTTTTTTACTCTTATTATTATAGAAGGATCTGCAAAAATATCCCCACATCCCATCGCGTGAAAAGATTTAGCTATACCTTTCTCACATGGCTTGTTTAAAGTATTTGGGGTTTTGAAATGATTCGAAGTTTTAAATAGTTTTGGAATTTAGAAACAATTTCAGAGTTTCGAAATAATTTTATTTGAATAAAAGTTTATTCATTTGATGTAATTGAATACTAAATTTAATTATGAATAGTTGGAATAATTCTTATTTGAATAGAACCTTCCAATTAAAAATAATTATATAAGTGCGCGTCATCTAAAGACATCAAATGCCGCCAAATCTTCAAATCCCAAAATAGCAATGATACTTTTTGGTGTCACGGGATTATAAAATCACATGACTCAATCATTTATCGTATTCGTTATGAATTTGAGTATTCGAATTACTATTACTTTTTACTCGAACAAACGAATAAAACAAATATATAAAATGAGTAAAATGAATAATTCGAATAAATGAATAAAGCATACAAATATATATAAATATGATTGATTTTGGACATATCAAAAAAATTTGCAACATTAAAAATCATTAAATTTCATACATTTAATGATATTATTTTGAACAAGTTCTTTAAAAACAATGTTGTTTAAATGGTTCACCTATCAAATTGGTATGTTCATAAGGATTGGAGGATTTCCAAATTTTTTTTGAGCTGATATGTTAATGGGTATTAACCTCTTTGAGTTGTTTGATGAAGAGTATGGCCATGGTATCTGCCTTAGCCAAATGGGATGGAACTGTTTGTTTCTTTAAAGATTTCATTGAATATTCATGAATGTGATCACTATTCTGAATCAGAGTCTTTGTCAGTTCTTTCAATGGTATTTCAAATGGAAATATATCTTGCAAATAGAAAAACCTCACTCTGACAAAAATAAAAACTTAGAATCAATAATTTCCAATATTCATTCACACCAGCAAACGCTTCTCAAAATTGGGAAAATCTACTCTATGCAATGAAATTACATTACTGTGCTTGTACTATTCATATAGTTTTCAGAAAAGCACCAACGCAGATTTCTACAAACCTGTAGAAAATTACTAATGTATGACACTGAATTTTATACACCCTATTTAAGAAGTTTAATTTCCTGAATTAGAAATGATATGTTAAATTTCTTGAATCGTGTAACCAGTACAAATTTCCAGAAATTCAAATTTTGATTAGACAATAATGTTACACCCGACAAACCCGACAACTGACTCGCTATTACTATAGTAATAGTAATAGATGACTTTGCCCATATAATAATATTAACAAAATAAATTAAAAAAATTCATTTATTAAATTATCAAAATCTCGCATTATTATTATTATTTAACTTTTGTATATATGATTAGCATATTTATAAATAAGTCAATTATTAATTAAAAAACAAAAAATATTATACAAAGAAAAAGTAATAATAAAAATATGAAATTTATAATATTAATAAGTAAATAAGTTCCAAAATTGTTTTTTTTTTAATATATGTATGTACACAATAATAAATAATAATGTAATGATTATGATGATGATTATGATGATGATGATGATGATAATCTATAAATATATTAAATAATTAATTAATTATAAAAAAAAAAGGAATTCTATATATGAAAAATATATTTGATTAATTTAATTTAATTAATGGTCATGATATAATAATATTAAATAATTAGATATTAAGTAAAATTTCAATCATCCATACAATAATTCAATCGTTCAATTGTACAGTACGTCGTTAAATGATGCTATATATATATATATATTTTTTGGTTCAGATTACCTCGTGTTCATAATCGATAAGATCTTTTTCAATCTTGACGTACCAACTTGGGACCCAACCACGATCATCATTCAACTCACAATAATACCAATAATCTTGTTTTTTATAAATACGTAATGTATCGTCTTTATTCATACTCAATTCATCATCCGTATTTCGTTGATAGTCTATCAATGCTATACCTCTACCAACATATGGATTATCATCATCCATAATATCACCACCATTGACATTTGTTTCAAGCAAGAAATTTGCTGGTACCCAACCATACTGACCATTTTTTTCACAATAACACCAACCGCCTGACTTGCTTCTGATTTTAAAAATATCGCCAACGACTACATTAAGCTCATCATCAAGTTCCGGCACATACGGGTATATCGCAACAGCTGTACAATCGCCCTCAACTATCATTTCTTCATCTTGATCTTCTTCGTTACCGCTATTGTTATTATTTAAATATTCATATGTATTATTTGATGACGATGATGATGGTGTTTCATTTTTTGAATTATTATTATTATTACTACTATTATGACTATTACTATTACGATGATTACTATGATTATTGCTGTTGTTTAATGGATAAGTTTCAGCTGGTGGAGGGGGAGGAGGCAATTCTTTATTTAGGAATTGTGTGGTACGTCTTTTAGATTTATTGGCTTTCAGGGAATTAAGTATTTCTTCAGCAGTTGCAACTGGCGATTTAATTTCTTTGATATTTTTTAACATGAAAACTGGATTTTGATTTGCTTCTTTTAATTTTTGAAATAAAAGTAATGGTTTCTCATCATAACTTAGACAACGTTCTACCGGATTATCTGTTAATTTTTTTAAGATGAAATATAAATATTTCCCTGTGTACATGTGTGTGCGAATAAATATATTATTTATTATTTATTCATATATTTACATTACCTTTACTTCCAAAACAAATAAATAAAGCGTATTTTCTCCAATCATCATGTACTTTATATTTTTTAAGAGCTGATGGTAATACTTTATAACATGGATCTTCAAGTGACACTCTAAATCTACCAGTATTTAATCCAACATTAGCATTCAAGTGTGGTGACTCGTTATTATTATTATTACTAGATGATAGATGAATGTGTGTCCTTGGCTATTATTTAAAGAAGAAATTGATTGTTATTGTTGTTGTTGTTATTATTTATATATAATATGTAAATATATACATACATCTAAATCATGGATACGATTTCGACCTTCTTGAGGTGATCGAGGTGAAGAAGGGGCACTTAAAGCATCAAAAGGAGAGTTGGCATGAGATGGAGATTTTGAACAATTTGTAACATTGATGTCAGGAACTGTAACTTGAAGATTGTTTTTTTGTGTTGATTTTTTACCAGAATTATTACTATTTGATTCTGGTTCTGGTAATGGCTAAAAGAAAAATAATAATAATTGGATGAATATTTTTAATTAAATAAATAAATAATTATAATAATAGTAATTAGTAATGGTAACAATAATGGTAACGGTAGCAAGTTCAATTGATCATCGTCTACAATTTATAGATAGGTTATAAATAATATAATAATAATAATAATAACAATAATGAACCTTATTTTCTTTTGCCATTTTCCAAATAGGTGTCAACTCTTCTCTTAATTTTGAAACATCTGTTGATAACCTTTGTAATTCTTTTGATAATTGATTGATTTTTGCATCTGTATAATAATTATTATAATCACAATTCTTTAAAAAAAATTTTATAAATTATAAATATTTAATATGTGAAATTGAGATCAACCTTTTTCATGAATTGATTTTTCTATTTTTCTAATATCCGGAACACCGTTCATATTATATATTTCCTAATATTAGAATTTTGAATTTGAATTAACAATTAATTTTAATTTTAATGAAATATAAATCAAGCAAGATAATAATTTAATCAATTATATTAAACATACGTTTTCAAATTCTACGGCTATTGTTATTATTATTGAATTTTTTTGTAAAAAAATAAAAGTAATAATAATGAATTAGATTATTATTTCTTCGAATTCAATTCAAAATTCAAATTCAAATTGTTAACCAATTGATGATGATAATGATGATAACAATAAATCTGATAATAATTCATTCTTTTTCAATTATTCTTACATACATGGCGGAACATATTCTCCTGTTTCTACAGGGATATTATGTTGTATTTTTAGATTGTATATTGCTTTAAGTATTGTAACTCGTTGACCAACTGAACGAACACCAAGATCCTTGAGTGCCTCGTGATCTAAATGAACTAATATTTCTCCGCTTATATCTTGTTCTATAAATACAATTGAAATTTGTTATAGAAAAGAAAAATTCACATTTTTTTAATTGTTCAAAACATTGATATATATAATATTAAAACCAATAATCATAAAAGCCTTCTCTATTAAATACCTTTTATTTGTGATTCATATGCAGAATATCCAAGTGAAGAAAGCCAATAATTCACTTTATTGACATCCCAACTTGTAACTGGCTGGTCCATTTGTAAAAAAATCCCAGAAAAAAAAGAAAGTGTATATGTTATATGGATTTAATTTGATTTTTGAATATATATAAATATATATATTGATTGATTGATATTTTTTTTAAAAAAATTTTAATTAAAATTGTCAAATTGTTAACCTTAAAAAAAATATATAAAGATTTTATCGTAACTAATTTTTATTAATTTGTCCAAACGTGTAACTTTTATGCATTCCATAATAATAAGCTTTAGCCGGAATCTTCCTTTGTGTAACTTATTCAAGTCTACATAAAAAAATAAAAAATAAAAAAAAATGCCCGTAAAAAGTTTACCGACAGAGGTTTTAATACAAATATCCAAATATATTAAAGATTATAAAACTTTATACTCATGCATTCTAGTTAGTAGACAATGGTGCAACATCAATATTCCAACATTATGGAGAGATCCATTCCATTCTGATGGCAGCATCAAAATATTAATCAATTGCTTGTTATTAGAAGACAGGGACTTTTTATCAAGAAATAATATTGAATTGACTTTTAAACTATTGGACAGACCAACATTGTACAATTATGCAAAGTTTGTTACCATACTAGAAATCCCGTCTACTGAAGATGAAACTCTGCTATATGGATATGGGAAAATTTATTTGTTAAACAGAAGATTAATAGAATTTGTTTTAGATTATTCAAATGCTATCAATGTATGTTCTACTTTTGAATTAGAATGTAATGGATGGTTGATTAATCATCGCAGATTTGATATTTGTTTTAGAGATCTTAGTAAATTAGAATGTGATTTTTCTGATAACCGTAAATTTTTTTTAAAACTAGCAAAGAATTGTAAAACAATCCAATCTTTAATAATAAATAATTTTTATGATAATTTGGATGATGGTGCTACAATTGTTAATGACAGTATAGCTCAACTAATTGAAGCGCAAAATCAAATCAAAGAATTAACCATTCAATCAAGCAACTATATAATTTTATCAGCTAACTTATTAAATGCAATTTCAAAGCATTCTAATTCAATAACTTGTTATAAAAGTGACAAAAAAAATAATTTAAGTTCTTTAATTTCAACATTTCGAAATTTAAACAGGCTAGCCCTCCATTATAGTTATAAAAAAGATTTTAAAATTTTAAAATCTGTTTTATTTCCAAATTTAGAAACTGTAGATTTGACTTTTTTCAGGGAACTATGTCTAATAGAATTGGTAAAAATTATTAAATTCAATGGAAAGAATCTTAAACACTTGGCAATTAGGGGTAATGATGAATTGAATCTAGCAAATCTTTTTCATTCAATTGGGGAAAATTGCAAAGGTTTAAAATACATATCAATAGTATATAAAAATGAATTTGATCAACAATTAATGGAATTATTAAAGAGTTGTATAAAATTGGAACATATTGCACTTCCAACATTTCCTAAAATTCGAATAAATGTTAATAATATATTCCAAATATTGAATCAAACATTACCAAAAAATTTAAGTTGTATTGATTTAGGACAAAGGATTTCCATCTCTGATAATGTTGATCTTGTCAATTCTTTGGATGTTTTAATGAAAAATTGGAAAGGACCTAAACCGCTGGAATATAAATTACCACCAATTTATACACCAGAAATAGAACAACTGGATAAAATATTAAAAAAATATCAGGATCTAGGATTTATTAATAGAATACCATAATTTATGATAGAAATATATTTTGGTAGAAGTATGTATTTAGGTTCGTTTATGTTTAGGATTTTATTTTCTCAAACCAATTTTTGGGTGGTCGGTAACGAGCGAAGACGCAATTATTGTATTAAAAAATTTAACCATATATTAAATTTTTCAGTTATTTCAGAATGCGAGAACAGAAAAAGCAGGAGAAAGAATGTTGTAATTTTGATTTTAATATTGATTGATTCTTAAAATATGTGCCATGAAACCATTTTTGAAAAGGGCGTGCACAGGTTTATATGCCAAAGCAATATATAATTTAATGAGGGTAAAGGATCGGATTCTTAATCATATTATAACATAAAATTTAAACGAAGGAAAAAAAGGAAACAAATTTTTTTTATTTTGCCTTATCAACCATGTCCTAATATTAGTGTCAATTACTATCAATGATTTAAGTTCGATTTTTGTAAGAAAAATATTCTTTCAATTATTTAATAAAGTTGTTGACCAACCACAAAACGCGTCTTTTGATGAAAAGTTTTCAAAGCTAATACCGTGCCTTGTTGTTGTTGTCATCTTAGAAGTAAATAATATTTCAATGAGTAGTTTTGATATTTTATGTTTAAATATTATTACTTCATTTCCTTCGATTATCAATCCTTCAACGCTAATATTTTGAATGAGCTAAATTTATCTGTGTGCTGTTGCTATGATGGGTGGGTAAGAGACAAAGACACAAAGCAAAGCTTACAACACTATGTGGAGCCATTTGTAGGATGATGAAGGTGTCGTGGATTTTAGGCAGAGTCATAAATATTAAAACATCAATAATAAATTCTTTATCATCCGAGCGAGACTAACTTTGCCGATCATTCAACTGATCTGCAAAATATTTTTTGATAAAGTTAAAAGTCATATTTCATAATGGTCAGTTCAAACAAATCTGTATTGTAGCCAATTTCACATTATTTTGAAAATATTTAGTATTTAACTATTTGTTTTTAATGAATATATAGAAAATTATTCTAAAATTTGAGGGTAAATTATCATCTATAAATTTTTAAAAATCCAATGTTTCTTCTTCATCCTCAATATTACCGTTAAATTCATCATCATCAATCTCTTCATCTTCTTTATCAATAATAATATGTGGCAATATAGTTGCTTTTGAACCATGTTTTCCTTTTTTTACAGAAATCATAGGTTGATGAGTAACGTTGTACCTTTTTTTTTTAATAAAAAGGTTTTTATTAGTCAACTGTGTCATATACTTATTAAAAATATTCATTTAATAAAGTAATGCAATACAAACCTTTTTGTGAGATTGGTTTTAGTTTTCGAATTAATTTTTTTCATTGCGGCTTCAAATTTGCTTCCCATACCCAATTCAATAATGGTTTCCCAATCTTCTTTTGTTAAACCATATTCATCTAAACAATCGATCACTTTTTGAATATTCGTCATGTTCTAAACCAATACAAATGAACGAATAAATAAATATATATATCAATAAATCTTTATTACTAAATGTATGCCATAGAATAAAAAAATTAATAAATAGTAAATACCACGTTATCACCAATTAACGGATGGTATAGTTTTGTAAGCAAGGCAGGAATATAGTCCATTAAAATCTCATCTTTATTAGCGTTACATTTTAATCTTAACTTGCTTTGAATTTTACTCAATGCTCTTTTATTTCTCATTGCTTTGCTATTTTGTCCCAACCAACTAAAAACAAATGAAAAAACCAAAGTCATTATCATTGATTTTTCAATAAATATTTTTGTTAAAGACCCCAATTTACACATTTCCAAAAATAAATTACCTAGGGAAATGATATTGGCCTCTACCACAAGAATAATAACTAGGTATTACAGTTGATACCATACCATGAAAAGGCATTAAAGACCATTGTTGTTGAGATCTAACAAGCAGACAGACAGACAAATAAATAAATAAACAAATAATTTAATGATTAATTGAAAAAAAAGAATGATTCTATGTCTTTTACCCGTGTATCATTCCACTAATTAAATCTCCTTTAGATATGGAGTCAGCGGCCTTGCTTAAACAACCTATCACTGCAAGTTCTTTGATAAGTTTTGGGTCAACATTTCTATTCATATTTTTATAAACGAATTCTTTACTAGCAACTTCGCAAGGCTTGGTAATATAATTTTCCTGCATATATATTAAAATAAAAAATTCAGCCTATTAATTTATCTCATAAATAGACCTTTATCAAAAAAAACCTGTATCATCAAGGGGGCCAAATCCGGATCATGGAAATAAAGACCCAACTTCTCGTTTAATGAGATATTGTTGTTAGGCAACCAGGTGATCGGATTAAATAATTTTGCTGATGCATCCCAAACATTCAAGACTATATCCTTTTCCGAGTTCTTTATTCTATAACGTAAAATAAAGGTTTATTAAAATAATAAAATATATAGACAATAATAAATATGAACCAATTCAATCCGTACAATTGTTTTCCTTGATCAAAATCGATACTATTTTCTGAAAGCTTCCAACATGATAATAAATTCATGACTTGACGTATATCGGTGTTTGTTCCTTTGATAATTGCATCAACTACATTACCACTTATTTTCAAGTTCTCTCTAAACATAGGCAAACCAAAAAAAAAAACAATGATTTGAGTGGCACGAGTTATTGTAAAAGCAAAATATGACTTTCAACGTCATTTCAAAAAAAAAGATTTAATTACTTAAAAGCGATTGATAAAATTCTTGATCGTATGTGCTCAACACGTGGCCTGTTTTAAATATTACATATAAATACATTAATCTTCCAAATTAAGATGATCGAATTAATTATTTACCTTTGAAATTTAATTTCCTGGCATAAATTAGTAAAAGATTTCATTTTTTGTGATTTATTATCATTACAAATACAGATTATTGGTACCTTCAATGGAAATGATTATGGACATAAAATATAAAAATTAGTATTAATAATTTATTTAATTTATTTATGTAATAATAATAATATACTTTTGATTTTTTGATTATTTGAATTAACTCTTGAGTGCCACCCCTATCACCAGTTGACATTCCATCAACTTCATCCATGATTATTAATGTTCGATCAGTATGTGATGGTTCAGATTTCTCTTTATCATTTGATAACGAGCTAGCAGTTACGGCAGCAACATTTGTAGCATTTGAATTATAAAAACTGGTAATAGACATGTTGCCAGTGGCAATCTTGATAGCCAACTAGAATTTTATAATTTATAAATCATTAATACCAAAAATGATGATGATGATGATGATGATGATATGATATTGATAATAAATAAAAAAAACCTATCCTTACGTCCAGAGTCTTTTTATTACGAACGTCACTAGCATTGAATTCTTTAATATCATAGCCTTCATCTTTACCAACAAGATGAGCGGCAGTTGTCTATTTGTTTATGAATTTATTATATAAATCAATAATTCGCAACACAAATCGAAAAGGAAAAAAGATTACTCTTTAAAAATAAACACCTTTCCGATTCCTGGTGGACCAGATATTAACACAGCAGGATATTTACCATTAGCTTTACATTTAAAGCCTGTTTTGAAGTTTGTTTCCCTATGTCATTTTTGAATTTTATTTTACATAAATTAAATTATAAAAGATCAAAAATGACTAATCCAAATTTTTTTGTTAAAATACCAGTCATGCAACCACGTTTTCAAAGCTCCTATAGAAGTTTTATTTCCACATAATTCTTTAAGCGAATTAGGCCGATACCTGTCTACCCATATTAGGTGTTTTGGATCACTAAGATATATGTTTGTTGTAAAAGAGAGCGCAATGGTTAAGATTAACATTAAAAACAAATAATAAATATATATCTATTTATTTATTACATACATTATTTCAGGCGGAGCTGATTGTCTGATGGGCTCTCGAACAAAACTTGCAATTGCCTTGCCTTTTCTATTACTGCTACCATTAATGATATTACTAGTAGTAGTGATGTTATTAGGACTTTCAGCATATCTTGGTTCACTATTTCCACGTGATTCCTTGATTAGGTTGAAAAGTCCATCTTCGTCCAATGTTGGGATGTTGAGTTCTTCAATCTTATTCAATTTCTTTGGTCCAGAATCATCTCCAAGGACGACAAAACTAGTTGTATTATTCATTGAAGTTGTAACTCTTCTAAGTTATAATTTATTTTCATTAAAAATCACATCTAAAATAACATGTACATATATATATATAATATTTTCAGTTGATTTATTACCCTCCATGTTGCTTCACAAGATCTTGTGCTTTTTCCTTAGTAATCGATGTTAATTCCCCAGTAAAGGCAAACGTTTTATCCTTCAAGTAATAAAAATAAAATTTTGATGACGATCATGATATTATTTATTTTGCTAAAAGAAAGGGGCACTTTTAAATAAATGTAAATAAAATAATACTTGAAGACAATTTTTTTCTCCTTTGGGTAATTCTTTCGATCCAAGCGCAGAAGGACTAGGTCTATTTAAGAATCCTTTAAAAAATCTGATTAAAAAATAAAAGAATATATGTTAATTTGGATGTTTATGTGTAACCATCAAGAGAAATGTAAATATATTTACGTGAGTTTCTTTTGTTCAGGTTTTCCAGATTTTAAGTTTTTTTTCGCGTCATTTTTGTCATTATTATCTTTTTTTATCTTTTTAACAGTCTTTTTTTTGTTATCGTCTTCAGATATAAAATCATCTTCGTCATCATCTTTACTTCGTTTTGATTTTGATTTTGATTTAAGATTCTTGTTGATGGTTTTTTTCTTGGGTAAATCCATCTCTTTTTTTTTAAAGGGAAGAGTGTAAAGAAAAGCGAGTTATTATTTTTTTTTGAAAAATATCTGGAAAATCGTGTTACTCGATCATATTTGATTGGTTAAGAATTGTCACCAAGATACACGTAAAAATTAAATTTTGATTGGCCTAAAAATACACGTCCAAGAATCAAAAGAACCAAATAAAATTGATATCTCACTCATTCAAAAAAAATTTATTTAATTTATGGATTACGATTTAGAATTTATTTTCACAATGAAAAATAGAATTATTATTGATAATAATATTATTGCCCATTAGTTGTTGATGTTGATGTTGTTTTCTTGATGGTGTGTTCTAAATTTAACTGCGCCTTAACATAAATCTAGTCTAATTTTAGAAAATATCTGCATAAGATTTTCAGATTTGGTTAGCGCGCGCTGATTCCACCGATTGAATTTCGAACATTGTACATATAAATTTTTTTTTTCAAAGAATATTATAGTAATAATAGTGAATGCGATAATTATGATAAAGATGAAATACACAAAATATTTTTTATTAATTATTTTTATTTCATTTTATTTTTTTACATACACAAAAACAGAAGAAAATTCAAATGTTGATAAGAATCATAATTCAAAACTAGATCAAAATAGTTGTCCATATATTCAACGATTAAATAAACAAAAAAAAGAAAAACATGACCACAAGAAAAGTAATTTGACAAAACAAATCTTTAATTCCTTATTTCCTGGCGGTCCACTTGTTAATTCTTTGTTGGGAACATTTTATATTTCGTCAGTTCCAAATTTCATATTATACTTTGTTCCGCCTGATATTGACACATCTTCATTAAATTCACTTGTAAGTTTTGCAGTTGGTGGATTGCTTGGCGATGTATTTTTACATTTAATTCCTCATTCATTCTTGGGTGAAGATAATGATGATCAAGTACATTTTGTTAAAGTTGA